AAATCAATCAGCTTTTTCCTAGAAATGAGAACTCAAAACCAAGTCCATATGAATGTTGCTCATACTGATTGCATGGGCAAGTAATATTAACCGGATGGCTATAAATACAGTAATGTGAGAGCTCTGAAGCTCTCCATTGCCAGAGACTGAGGTGATGAATTCATCTTTGGCAGCCTAGAGGAGTCAGAGGTGAGTCCAGGTGCCTCTCCAGAGGGAGAAAGGTTTACACCCTCTCAAAGGCCTCCTAGTGGTTAGTTTTTAGAGTTGACAGGAGGCTTCAGAACCAGGCGAATAACAATAACAATTATAATCCTCACATTTGATCTAGCAACTTATCCTGGCTTAATTGATAGCACTCTTGTCTCTGTCAGAATTTTCTGGATTCAAGTCCCACGACAGGACTTTGAGATTGTGCAGTATTGGCTAACACTCCAGTGTAGTGCTGGGGATGTGTTGCATTGTTGGAGATGCCATCTTTCAGATGAGACTTTAAACCAAGAAATGTCTGCCCGTTGAATATCCCAATATTTTCCCCTATTTATTAAACACTAGCCACAGTCAAGCAGTAAAAGCACATCAAGACATGCAAACTGCATGGCAATTCAGTGGCTTTGAATTAATACAGAACCTCTGAGAACTACAAGGAAATTATCTGAGGACTAATAATAATCTTACAAATTCCTTTTAATTGTTTAGATTGAGTCTAAATCCAAACCCAATTAAATGCAATAATGTGATTTTAATGCTTTAATACTTGCCTCTTGGTCCCCAGCCAACAGTTAAAAGATTAAAACAGTCAGTTAAGAATAGCAATCTTACCACTCCATCCGTTTGATTCTAGCACAGAGCTGACACCAGCAATATAAAAGGTCTGATCCTCACTCACTGTCATGTTCATCTACAAAATATGCAGCCGTTACACTTTACAGTCTATTCCATGAATCATTTTGAGACATCCACCCAATATGAGAGGAGCTATATCCAATGAAAGGATTATTATTGATAAATAAAACCAATTGTGCCCCCGGCATGAATTACATTTTTAAGAAATAAAATAATTCGATCTTAACTTTCAAACCGGTTTTCTGTTTTAATCTGTTTTAATCTTTCCCCTGAAATATTTTATGTGCTGGAACTGCCTTATTTCCTGTAATTAACTTCCACACATGGATGTTATCCCATTTTCTGTTTGTGCAATAGCTGGTTGTTTTCCCAACCAGTTGATCTGCTGAGGACACCAACAGGACGACAAACAATGATAATCTTTACATTTGATAGAACACCTTTCATGTTGGGAGGACATCTCAAAGCATTTCACAGGATGTACTGGAAAGTTCACAGTGTACAGTATTATGTATCCTATGTATTTTGTAGGTGAACACCCGATCCAATATTCTTACAGCAATGTCCTCCAAAACAGCCATGAAACGAATGACCAATTTTATTTGGGGGTTGTTGGCCAGGACTCATGGAAATATTTCTTTCAATTTTCAAATTGCGCTATGATAATAATAATTCTTGCATTTGATATATAGACGTCTCAAAGCGCTTCACAGAATATATTGTAAAGTGGATTGACTGTATATTTTGGGCAAAATGTGGCAGCCAATTGCGCACAGCAGTGTCCATAAACAGTTTGAGTGACTAAATTATTATTGTTCTTTTTTAGGGATTATTATTCCCGGAAATCCGCCAATCGACTAACAACCGGGTAAACAGAGGTGTGTGTAGGAAGGAAACTTGCCCAACATTTTGCCCTGCCGGGAATAGAACCCAAGTCTCTCACTTGTGAAATGAGTGCTCTAACCACCAAGCTACAGGACTCCACAATATCTTTAACGTACACCTGAACAGGCAAATGAGACTTTGGTTTAATGTGTCAGCCAAAGGATGGAATCTCTGACAATGCAGTGCTCCTCCAGCACAGCCTACATTTGATTATCAGTCTAATAATAATCATAAAGTGTCAGTCTAGACTCTAGACAATGAGTTGCGACATTGTGCTTGAACACACAACTTTCTTGGTCAGAGGAGAGGCTGCTACTAACTAAGCTAGTCAGACAGCAAGTTACAAATTCAGGCTCCTTATTGTGTATGCTAACTGAGCAAGGTTTGACATGGGATCAAGCTTTGAAGTTTTAAATAAAGCTTAACAACAGCTGTGCGCTTGATCATGTGACAGATGTGACAGATTGCTGTATTGCCACTGTCTACCTGGGCTAGTGGTGATACCCTGCCCGGTGCGTGCCAAAGGCAATTCAGTAGAGAATCATGCATTAATTTCTAACTCTACCTGAAGGATTTTACAGCAACAACAACTTGCATTTATATAGTGTCCCTCATGCAGGTTAGAGTCCCAGAGCACTTGACAGTGGCGGAGCATGACAATGAGCTTTGGGAGGAGGCAGGTGACTGGAGGCAGGTCTTCAGGCGTGATCTAAAGATGGGGAAGGAAGGGGCAAGGTGGAGGGATAGAGGAAGAGTGTTCCAGAGTTTTGGGGCATAGTGGTTGAAAGTGCGGCCACCGATGGTGGAATGGAGGGCACGAGTGACGTGCAAGAAGCTAGTCCAGCAAAGGCAGTGGGTAGTGGGTTGGAGCGTAAGTAAGCAGGTCGGAGGGGTAGTGAGGTGCCAGGGCATGAAGCGATTTGAAAACAAGTTTGAGGATCTTCAAATCGAACCGTTCGGCCATAGGGAGCCAGTGCAGCCTGGTTAGAACTGGTGTGATGGGGCTACAGAGTTTAATGTGGGTAAGTTTGTGGGTGGCGGAGTTCTAGATCAGCTGGATCTTGTACATGGTGAGACCTGCGAGGAGGATATTTGAAAAGTCAAGTTGGGAGATGACGAATGTATGGACGAGTGTTTCGGCTGCATCTGGTGTAAGCTATAGTTGGAAGCGGGTAATGTAGCGGAGGTGGAGGGAGACAGGCTTGGTTAGGGACTAGATGTGGGGAAGGAAGGACAGCTGTGGGTCCAACTTAACCCCTAGGTTGTGCACCAGTTCGGGTAGTCTGAAGGATAGGCTGGGGTAGCCAGAGCCGCAGGACACAAGACATTGATGGGAGCCAAGGGTTATGGCTTCCATTTTACACTTAGTTGTAAGAAGTTTGAACTCATCCAAGCTCTGATGTCTGCCAGACAAGCCGACAGAACATCAGCGGACTTGGAGTCGCAGCTGGAAGAGGAGTAGATTTGTGTGGCATCCGCATACATGTGGAAGTTGACCCCATATCTGCGGATGACATTGCCAAGAGGGAACATGTAGATGAGGAAGAGGAGGGGACCAAGGATGGAGCTCTGGAGTATGCCGCAGGTGACCGGGTGGGGGGACGGAGGAGCAACTTAAGAAGAGACAAAGTGACGGCGGTTTGTTAGGTAGGACTCGACCCAGGTTGCTCCTTTTTTTGAGGAGGGGAGTGATGACAGCGGTTTTAAGGGGGAGAGAAACAGAACCTGAGGAGAGTGACTGGTTGACTGTGTTGGCCAGCAGCGGGGAGAGGAGCGGCAACAGAGCTTTAACTGACGGATGTCCGTTCCACATTTTTCTACTTGCATTTCTTCTGTCTTGTTTCAGGCTTGTTGCCTTGCGCTCATGTTCCCCTAGTTCTGTGCCATGTTGACATCCACCAGAACATGCATTTCATGATTTTAAAGATCTCTGGGATCATATCGCCTAATTCTATCCCTACAGACTCCATAGTAGTTGCCTACAAATATAATCTCTACACTCCACAGTAAAATCCTGTGAAGCCCTTTGAGATATCTTGATGACGTGATAAATTGCTAATCAAATGTAAGGATTATTATCTCTCTGAAGATGATGGACTGGTTTTAGTGTTGTCACAGCTTGCTAACTATTTGGAGACTGGCTTTGCCAGAGTTACAGGTACAGAGGGAAAAAGTTTGATGAATTTTATCATTAATCTCAAATTTCATTAAGAGTAATAAGAGTATTCCTAAATTCCACCTGAGGGGGAAAATCTCTGTCACGAATGATGTACATGTGCTACAATACATGGCCACAACAATTGAATATATTTCCACATGTATTCCAACATATGTATCAGTATATATACCATGTGTCAACCTGGCTCAGCCAGTAGCACTCTCGCCTCTGAGTCACTCGGTTGTGGGTTCAAGCCCCGCATCAGGACTTTGGGATCATAGGCTAGGCTGACACTTGAATATAACACTGGGGGTGCTCTGTAATATCAGGAGGTGCCACCCTTCAGATGTTACATTACACCAAGGACCTGTTTGCCTCTTCATGTGAATGTTAAATAATAATAATAATAATAATAATCCTTGCATTTGATATAGCGCTTTTCACGTCGGGAGGACGTCCCAAAGCACTTCACAGAACACACTGTAAAGTGAATTGACTGTATATTTGTGGGCAAACGCGGCAGCCAATTGCGCACAGCAATTGGACCCCATGGCACAATTCAAAAAGACAAGGGAGATTCTCTCTCCCAGTGCCGTGGCCAACAATCCCCCAAATGAAACTGATCTCACACTTCACAGCTCTTTGTGGGACATTGCTCTGCGCAAATTGGCTGTCATGCTCGCCCAAAAAACACAGTCACTACACATTACAGTAAATCTTATGAAGCGCTTTGAAGTATCCTTCTGACATAAAAAGGCGCTGTATCAAATGATTGCTATTATTACTAATAATATTAATATGTTCATTTACTGTTACTTTGTGAAACTGGGAATAGAAAAGTTCCAAACATTTCTGGGTGTAGGCTCGGGGGGACTTAAGGGGGGTTCTCGACTGGAAATAGTTGAAACTTAAATTAAATATAATTACATTATAAGAAAATAAGAGTTGCATGCATTTTTTGAAGCTTGTGCAGAATGTAATTTTGTAAAACTAATTTTTATCATTATTTTTCAGTAAAGTGAGCATCTGCCGGGGTTGAACTTCAAAGCAAAGCTACTTTGAGATGATGATATGTATATACCAATAACAGTCTGGCCACTAAAGCCAGCCTCCTTGGCAGTTGATCTCCGCTTGCAGCAGAGCAACGACTTCCAGCTACCTTCAGAAGTCTCTCTCTCTGCGTTTAACTCCATTTCCTCTTGTTTCTCCCTCAATCTCTGTGATCAGCAAATGATCACAACCGAACAGAAGGAATCATGACTTCCAAAACATTGCTAACTTTACTCCAGCTTTGTTGGATGTGGAACTTCCTGCAAGCTCAGCCGTATGTTCAGGGCAACAATGTATATCATGGAGGTAAGTGCTTTGATTTCCACTTCTTAAGGAATTTAAACTCCTTGTGAAATTCACCAGAATCGCTGATGGTTTAAACGGTTTGCTCTTGTTTTCCATTCAACTGAAGTAACTTCAACAGTGTTTGTAAAAATCATCTTTGCATTTTGAAACTGAGCAACTTGGCAAAGTGGGGTACTCAGTTCGATGAGAACAATTGATTTACATTATTTTTTATTTTAATTAAAATCATATTCATGTCTGTGGTTTGATGTTTATTATACACCAAAAAACAACCTTGGATACCAATCTGGCTGGAATTAGTTAAACCAGTGAATGGTCCCTTTGCCTTTCTGTAAGTTTTTTTAAGTTACATATTTGTGACTTTTTTAAATAATAAAATCTCCAGAAATCATGCTTGCAACAATTCTGCTTGTCCGAGAAAATGAAATGATTTCTTAACTGGTTGTTGAGAATAGTAATTTTAATCTGCATTACAATATTGGCCGGGCCGTCACATTAAGGGAAGTCATTATAAGATTAAAATTCAAGTGTAATATATCTTAAGTGTTAAAAATGATTCTGGCATTCTCTAAATGTTAGACTTAAACTCCATCTTCATTTTACTCTTACAGACTGCCCTGTTGATTTGTTCTTTGTGCTGGATACATCTGAGAGTGTCGCTTTAAGAGTTCAACCGTATGGATACCTTGTGGATCTGGTGAAGAAATTCACCAGAAACTTCATTGACAATTTGAACAACAGGTAATTATTGTTTCCTTTTCTCGTCTGCAAATCAGTAACATGGGAGAGATATGAAATTGTTGTTCTCTTTGCAAACTGAAGGTGGTGCTGCTTATTTGCAGGTTGAATAGGAAGAGGACTTGCTCGGAAACGTTTTCACTGTGGATTTTTCTGCTTTCTTTTGAGATCTCTCCCTATCTCTCAGTTTCCATCCTTGCTTTGCTGTTAGCTAGGAACTTGACTGTGTGGCGCTCCCAACTTCCCATCAGTTAAGTGGCCTTAATTAGCCATTGTATACCAGGTCACAGAGTTGCCTTGTTACCTACATTCACTGTAGCTACTGATTCCCTTGCAAATCTTACAGTCTAGTCTCATCTGGTTATATAATAATCCTTGCATTTGATATAGGGCCTTATCATGTTGTTGAGATGTTTCAAAGTGCTTCACAGGATATACTCAAAGGGATTTGCAAGGGAATCAGTAACTACAGTGAATGTTTCTCACAGTTTGTCAATACAATAGATGTAATGTTATGTTGAATGTGTTGAGAGTGTGGAACTCACAGCGCTCACTCAAAGAGCATCAATGTATTCAAGAGGAAACTTAATACAACCATGAGGGAGAAAGGAATGGAGGGATGTAGGAGAGGGAAGTAGGAGGCTTTGAGATTATTGTGGAGTATAAACACAGGCATGTACTAGGTGGACCTGTTTCCATACTATAAGGCTCAGAGACTATTTGGCTCAGAGACAAATAGAAAATAGAAATAATGTTAATGATAGCGTAATAACAGAGCTCATGGGTTACCAATCCAGTGTGGGGAAGAACAGGAGAGGATAGGTTCTTGGCTCTGAATCTCTGCACGCTGAGGTCCTGATCACATCTGGAAGGGGAGGGGAGAGAGCAAGCTAGTAACTCTCTCTCACACTCTTTCTTTGGCCAATCCATTGGTAGAGGGATGGACGCATGATACAAATGCACAAAGGGGACAATGCCTTAATGGTGGGAACAAGGTGAAATGTAGACCTTAGTATCTATATTAAACTACATTAGTTTGGGGGAGGATTAAGAGGTGGCGTAAACAGAGGCAGCTCCATAAGCTGACCTTGCCTGTAAAATGCAGCCACATTCAACAGAGCCCTCCAAGGTTTACCATAATGATAGACTATAAGACAAAATGGAGACCTGTGTCGTGAACTATTAATTTGTACAAGCCAGCCTAGAGCAGTTGGTAGCACGTTCGCCTTTGGTTCAGAAGGTTGTGGGTTCAAGTCTCATGTTAGGGCTTTGGGTTCCAGATCTAGGCTGATACTTTAGTGCAGTGCTGAGGGAACGCTGCATTGTTGGAGATGCTGTCCTTTGGGTGAGATGGTGAACCAAGGTCTTGTCTTCCTGTTCAGGTGCGTGATAAAAATCCCGTGGCACTATTCAAAAAGATTTCTCCCGGTGTCCTGGCAGGCAATCCTCCAGCTAAATTGATCATCACTTTATGGCTGTTTGTGGGACATTTGGGGGTGCAAATACACCCAAACATTTGCCCTAAATACACAATCAGTACACTTCAGACCAAAACGTTGGAAGTTTTGAAGTTGTGTCAAGATGCCTTATCAAATGCAAGGATTATCATTATTTTAACCCCAATGGGAGATCTTCATGGAATCACAATAAGTGGCCAAACCCTTCTTACAACCAGTTCTGTTAATGTGGCAGGTTTGTCACACATTGTAAGCAATTTAGGTCCCTCTACAGAACCTACTTAACCGGCCGTGGTGATGGCATGCAGATATGGAATTCTCAGTCCGGTTTGGATACTCTTGAAGCATGGTGATGGGTTTCCACATGTGCCAGACACCCAACTGATCAACTCCCCCTCTCCCCCCTCCACCCAAGCCAAATAGTCTCACTAGGAATACGTGTCTAATGCACATCCTTTCCCCTGTGCCTGAGAATATTAATGGAATAACAGAACCTCTGCAATGGTGTTTGATTGTGCATGACATTTAAAACGCAAATGCCAAAGTTGCTTAATTTAGTGGCAAAAATCGAATTCCATTCCACCCTGTTTGAAGCAGGTCTGTGAATGATTGTGTTTTGCCAAAGCAGCCTGTCAGAGTTTAAGCTGTTTACAGAGCAGAGCATTTCTCTAGTTATTCCAGCACTGACTTGCACCATTTTGGAGTTTGGGCTCAATGTACTTGTTTTATCGCTGCCCGACTGGCAACTTCTATTTCCCATTTAATTCAATGGCAGAGCTCTTACCTATAAAGGGTAGAATGGAAATGGTTTGAATCTGACTGTGCCATTGCACTTTAGAGACACCTTTCCCTCTTCATCTCATCCCTTCCCCAACCTCACTATGCACAGTGTTCATAAAGATGAGCAGAGCCGTAGATTGTGTGGACAGTAATATCTCTATACTAAATGTCAGGACCTGATTTTCCAGCTGTGTAAGAGTGGAATTCCTGCAGATTGGCATAATACACATCTGGTTACCTGTAGTATTTCATGATTACTAATCATTTGCAAATCCTGCTGTAAATGACATAGATTAGTTGTAATTAAATTATAACAGTTGGTATTCCACCTTATATACCTAAGCGCATTTGGGACACTGTGACATTTTCATTAAGAATACTCCGTATCTAAATTCAATGTACTGGGTGACCAAAAAGTTGTGATACCATTACAATGTCTAATAAATCTTAAAGAAATTATGATTTTTTGTTTGTTTTTAGATATTACAGTAGTTATCATGACATTTTGGTCACCAATAATCCTGGCATTTGATATGGAGTCTTATCATTCGGTCGAAACGTCTCACAGAGTGAAATCTCTATAGATGCCTAATGGCTGTATTTTCCTTTGCAGATTTCTTAACAACAAAAAGTAAATACCGTGTAATTATTTTCCGAAGAATGTATTCCTCAGCACATTCAAGTGTTTTACAAATTCATTACATATTTTCTGTTAAGAAATAATGCAAATTAGACCCTTCAGTGGATCATGTCCATAATGAAGGAACATCACAATTTAAGAAGCTATATTACTGCTTCTGATCTTGCCTATCTATCATCACACCATAGAATGCTGTATTCATGCTTTCTGAATTGTAGAGAACTTTGATTACATAAATGGCCAAGTTCCTGTTCGTAAGGTCGCCATGATTGTCACTTCCTGTGTGCTAACATAACTTCCTGAAATTACAATACGATTTACAATACAGTTCATATTTATATAGTGCTTTTCACATTGAGAAGACATCTCAAAGCGCTTCACACAGTTCACTAACCAACTTAGCTTGGGGAGGTGTGGAGCGTGGGAGGGGGAAAGGCGAAAAGTGCAGTCAAAGGCTGAATTAATTCTTCAGGGGGACTTTTAAAGGGGGAGAGTTGGAGCGAGTCAGAGAGAATATCTGTCATAGAATGAAGATATAAAGAGGAGTATGTGAATGGATTAGAGAAGAAAGCATCTTAGGGGAACTAGCATAGCACAGCCACGAATGGTTGTGGTGATATTTCTCTGACACTATAACTACCTTCTCAGAAGCAGGTGTTCCTGAGCAGCTCAACATATCTTCTTTTTTCTTTTGTAATAAAAATAAATCACTGCAATTGATAAAGGGCCTCTCACTTCTGGAGCACGTCACAAAGCGCTTTGCAGATTTTACTGTAAAGTGTAGTACTGTGCATTTCGCATTCTGGCCAGAACCTAGCAGAGCAGAAAATTATTTTTGAAAATCCCAAACTGTTACCAATCGAATACGTTCAGATTTCTTCCCCAAACTCCAATGAAAAAACACAGCTTGAAATAAGAATGAAAAATATTGGAAGGCACAGCTGTCTAACCTCATAGAATCATAGAATAGAACCATAGAATATTACAGAACAGAAGGAGGCCATTCAGCTCATCGTGCCTGTGCCGACTCTTTGGAAGAACTACCCAATCAGTCCCATCCCCCCGCTCTTTCCCCATATCCTTGCAAGTTTTTCCTTTCCAAGTACCTATCCAATTCCCTTTTGAAAGTTGTTATTGAATCTGTTTCCACCACTTGATTCAGGCAGTGCATTCCAGACCGTAACAACTCTGTGTAAAAAAAAATTCTCCTCATCTCCCCTCTGGTTCTTTAGCCAATTATATTGAGTTGATGTCCTCTGGTTAATGACCCACCTGTCAGAAATGTGAAAGGAAAATATTAAAAAAAGAAAAAAGAAACGTTAGAGCTGAGTACTCACTGCATCTCTGATACTCAGATAGAAGTGGATCTCACCGCAGTTCAGCGATATTAAGGGGTTGTACTAAGGAGTGTGCTTGGAAATGGGTATTTGTAATTCCCTATATGGTGAATTCCTGATTTCAGCCAGCAAATCTGGTGAGTTGCCAAACAGGGATAAGACCAAGGGCCAATGGGAGCAGATAGAAAAACAAGCTCTGTCAGTTTCATGCACATTATAATCTTGGAATTAGATATAGTGCTGACAACACTGACATTGCAAGTCATTTCATGGCTAATTTCCGTGAAGTGATTGTTTTTATAGGCAAACGCAGCAGTCAATTTGCACACAGCAAGGTCCCACTAACAGCCAGGAGGTGAATGACCAATATATTGTGAGGATTGCTGTCTGAGACATAGGCAGAAATGCCCCACTGATTTTGAATAGCCTTAAGATCGTTGACATCCACTTGAACTGACAGGACCTCACTTTAATGTTTCATGTGAAGGGCTCCACCAGAACTCCTCCAGCAACATTCTGCCAGGACTTCACTGCTCTGTACTTTAAGCTCAAGTTCTGAAGTGGGACATACACTTAGACGTTGGTGCAGAGTAATGGATACTTGTTAAGTGCTTTGAGGCAATTTAATTTAATGAAAAGGCATTACATAAGGAAGCAGGAGCAACATTAAAAAGGGGTGGGAAAAAGGTGTTGGCCATACCCAGGATTGTTTTCTTTGCATATTCCATGGAGCTAGCCGTGGGTTGCATTGGAAGCACGGTGGCAGAAACAGCACATTGTCCAGTACACCACACTGTAGGTAAAAGCTACTAGCAGTGATGCCATCTGTGCTGTTAGAACCTACAGAAGCTGCCGCTAATAATAATAAAATCCTTGTATTTGATATAGCACCTTTCAATTCAGGAGAGCGTCTCAAAGGGCTTCACAGGATTTACTGTAGAGTGCAATGAATGATAATCCATTGTAACAAAAGGTAAAATTGCTCCTTGTTTTGTGGTAAAATAATAATAATAATAATAATAATCCTTGCACTTGATATAGCGCTTTTCACATCGGGAGGACGTCCCAAAGCGCTTCACAGAACACACTGTAAAGTGAATTGACTGTATATTTGTGGGCGAACGCGGCAGCCAATTGCGCACAGCAATGTCCCACAAACAGTCGTAGATTGAAAATGACCAATTTATTATTATTTTTGGTTTTGGAGGGATTATTATTAGGCATGTGGAGTAAGGAAACTTGCCCAAGGTTTCGCCCTCTGCCTGGAATTGAACTCAGGTCTCTCGCTTGCAAAGCGAGTCCGCTAACCACTGAGCTACAGGACTCCACAAAATCATGGATCACTATGCTGCTTTTTCAATCACAATTCTCCACAGGGTGCGAGCTCCCAATCTCAGCTGTGGCACTCACAGAGTATCCAGTACCTGGGAATATGTTCAAATTGGATGCCAGGTTCTGGCTGGTCCAAAGCATTTGTAACTATTCACAACATAGATTCATATAAACTGTACAGCACGTAATCAGACCCTTCGGCCCAACCAATCTGTGTCGGTCTTTATACTCATCACGAATCCCCACCCAGAGCTTACTCCCTCCCATACCCTTCTATTCCCTTCTCCCTTGTGTGACTATCGAGCTTCCTCTTAAATGCATCAATACTATACTCTCTGCTTCAATCTCCACTTCAGGCAGCGATTTCACATTCTCTCTACCCTCTGCATGAAGAAGTTCCTCCCAAATTCTCTTTCAGCTCCCCTTAGTCACTATCTTGCACTTATATTCCCTGGTTAGGGCCTCCCCAACAAATTGAAACGTGTACAACAAACCCAATCAATACCTTAGAGTTAAACTAATCAATTGAAAGCCTCAAAAGTGATCGTTCAATACTTTTACAATCACACAACCCATCCAGAAGGGGTCACTCCCTCTGAAGTTTACTAAGGGTTTTCAGTACGTGAAGTTATGTAACGCTTTTGAGGTTCATTTTTGACAAATTGGGAATTATTTTCTTTGCAAGGGCTGAAGATCAAAATGTATACGACCAAGGGCATTTCCTGTCAATTACATAGTGCGGTTAATGTCAGTGAATCTGTACGGTTCTTTCAGGTACTTCCGATGTGATCAGAATCTGGAATGGAACGCTGGGGCTCTGCACTACAGTGACGAAGTGATGATGATTGCTGAGCTTTTCCACATGACAGACAATCAAAAGGAGATTATGAAGACAAAGGTCCAGGACGTGAATTTCATTGGGAAAGGCACATACACGGACTGTGCTATACAGAAAGGTGCTGAAGAACTTCTACTAGGGTAGGAGCATTTTCAATATTTAGTCAATGGAGAACAAAATTGTTTTCTTTATACAACTTCTGGGAGATTGAAATAAAGGGACGGAATACATTGAAATGAAGGGAGCTGTATTAGTGCAAGCAACAGAATATCCATTGTCAACATCAAATCTACATCAATGCTACCTCAGATCTCTATTCTTCTGGCTATGAAGGGTACCTGACTCACACCTATACTGCTCCTGTGCCCACATGACCTATTCCATAGTCAATGTTAGAGGTACCTCAATAGTGCTATGTTTCTACTGTTGCTGTTATCATGGGTATCACATAATTTAGGAACAGTACAATTTACATTTATACAGAGCTTTTCACTTTGGGAGGACATCTCAAAGTGCTTCACACTGCTTGTCGGGCATCTGAGGTGGGGGGATGGGAAGCCAAAGAGGGTGGTGAGGGAAAAGAAGACTTAAAATACGGTCAAAGAAGCAAGTCTTGATATAGGCTTTCAAAATGGAGGGAGGGGGAAGGGAGCGAGTCAGTGGAACTCTGGGATGGAGTTTCAGAATGGCTGAAAGCTCACTGTGTACTGTAGAGAACTTAGAACAGAACCTTGTGTAAGCTAATTACTTCCTACTCTCCAAAAGAGAACATGTCTATTTATTTCCACCATCTGTTTTCCATCATCAAATCCCAACTCACTTGTTATTGACTAATTTGCCATTATTAGGTACTTTTACTTTCTTAGAGGGAGCACAGCATCTGCCGATTGCTAAATTTATTGCTTAATTATAATATTGCAATGGGAAATACCATTACAGAAATGAATAGAACAGCACTGAAGTTTTAATGATTGCATTAGAGGCCTCAGTTCCTTCTTTTATTGCTGTAAAGCTGTGAGGGGCTTTGGTTGCTAATTCCCACCATAATGATGGAAGGATGCTAATCTTTAGCATCCAGTGTAAGACAGACTCCCACATCACTTAATTGCTGTAACATGCCACTTTGCTCCTGCCCTCCATCCATGACACCTTCCCACACTCTTGTATCCATCGAGACAACAGGACAAGAGAACACAAGTTTCAGGGTTCCAAAGGGCAATTTCAGGATTTCTGGACTCTGTTAGAAACACCCCCAGCTTGATTCAGTGGTGAGAGGACCAACGATGGTAGGGTGGATATTCTGGAAGAAGGATGAGATCAAATGGTTCAAAATACCTTCTTCATCCGAACCAATCTTAGGATCACTGCGCTCTTGCAACACACAGTACAATTCCTTCATTCGCAAGAGCCCTATTCTTAGGATGTTTCACATTTTAAGTTGGGGCTGTTTATTACAAAATACAAAATTACATACGTCGGGAGGACATCCTAAGGTGCTTATTGACCCAGTTATACATGAATACAATTATATCTTGTCAGCATTCTTCTCAGATCTGGGTAATGTGCTAAAATACAACAACCTCCCTGGTCCTCTCTGTCCTTTAGTTTTACACTGATAAGGAAAAAACTGACTCTGTAAGGACCTTAGACTGTTTCTCACTCCAGTGGCTCTCACCATCGGGAGAATAAGTACATGATCGTGGTCACAGATGGACACCCAATCGAAGGGTATAAGGAGCCGTGCGGGGGGTTGGAGTCTGCAGTATCTGATGCAAAGAACCAGGGGATAAAGATCTTTTCCGTGGCTATTACTCCAGATCACCTGGTACGTAGAACAAGTAGCGCACGTGTTTGCCTACTGCTGCTCCCAAGTTTTGCTCACTTGAAGCGATTTGCTGTGTTGGACGCATTGATTTAATAACTATTTCTAAATCAATTTGACAAGCTAGGATTATTCTCCTTGGAGCAGAGAAGGTTGAGGGGAGACTTGGTGGAGGTTTTCAAAATTATGAGGGATTCGATAGGGTGAAGAAGGAGAAACTATTTCCACTGGTGGGTGGGTCGGTAACCCGAGGGCACAGATTTAAAATAGTTGTTAAGAGAATCAGAGGGGAGGTGAGGAGAAATATTTTCACACAGTGAGTTGTTTGGATCTGGAATGCATTGCCTGAAAGGGTGTTGGAAGCCGATTCGATAACAATTTTTAAGAGAGAAGTAGATAATTATTTGGGGAGGACAAGTTTGCAGGGCTATGGGAAGAGAGCGGGGGAGTGGGATTGAATTGGATAGCTTGTTTCAAAGAGCCGGCACAGACACGATGAGCCAAATGGCCTCCTTCTGTGCTGTGTAATTCTATGATTCTATGAAGACGATGATATTGTGCTCCATGTTTATGTAATTCTATGCTGTAGCTTAGAATTGTAGAACGTTACAGCACAGAGGCAGACCATTCGACCATTGAGGGAGAGTGTTTGACCGTGACACTGAGAGTAACAGTGAAACATGCTCACATCTCCTTCCCATTGTGGTGAGAGAGAGCATAGAGAGTCAAGCTGGCCCTGGGTCATCTTGCATAATACAAGTCTTAGAGCTAAAACTATTGTCTTCTTGACTCAATAATGGAGAATGCTTAAAAAAAGGCAGATAAAGAAGAAAGGAACGTTTTAAACCTAACCGTTAAGTGTGATATTATCGCCCTTTATGTTATTTTTGCAGGAAGCTAGGCTGAATCTCATTGCTTCAGACATCACATATCGACGGAATTTCACAGCCACCTCTTTCCAAGAGGTGGAGTTGAATAACACAATCAGGACCATTCTGGAAACAATAGTAAGTATTCACTTCTACTCATTTTAAGAAGGACATTTGGTAACAATATAACTGAAGACATAAATCCAGAATGCTGGCTTTTACCTCTAGAGAGGCCCAAGCTAAGACATGGGTTAAAGCCTCCAACTTACTGGCATTGGAGCATGCTGGAAGCAAAATATTAATATAATAACAATAATCATTTCAGATAATATAGATCATGTGAAAACGTCTTAAAGCGCTACAAAAGTGGAGTCCTGTAGCTCAGTGGTTAGAGCACTCGCTTTGCAAGTGAGAGACCTGAGTTCAATTCCAGGCAGGGCGAAACCTTGGGCAAGTTTCCTTACTCCACACGCCTAATAATAATCCCTCCAAAAACCAAAAACAATAATAAATTGGTCATTTTCAATCCACGACTGTTTGTGGGACATTGCTGTGCGCAATTGGCTGCCGCGTTCGCCCACAAATATACAGTCAATTCACTTTACAGTATATTCTGTGAAGCGCTTTGGGACGTCCTCCCGACGTGAAAAGCGCTATATCAAATGCAAGGATTATTATTATTATTATTATTATTATTACAAACAGTTTTCTGTAAAGTGCATGATCCTGTTTGCGTAGGCAAACAGACCTTTAGCTTTTAAATAGAGCAAGACTATTAAACTAAAGGCTCAGTTAATGCAGTAGGGGAAGTATTTACATGCTAAAAACTTTTTTTCAATGAACAATAGAATCCCACATTTTACAAAACTGTTTCCATCTGTTTGAAAATCTATAAAGACTACTAAGTTCACTAAGTGTTAAGGGACTTTCTGCCTCCACCCTTTGGGACTTTGTCCCACAGCCCCTTCTCCTCACCCCTTCCGTTGCTTCCTTCAAGGCCCATCTCAAGACCCTCCTCTTCAGCTGCGCCTTCGGTCACCCCCCACCCCCACTCTTCCTGCCCTCCACCCCATTCTGATCCCAACCCCAGCGCAGGTGCAAATCCTTGACTGTCCAACCCCTTGGGATGTCCCCCAGACGTGAAAGGCGTGACACAAATATAATGTGTTTTAGTGACTGTATTTTGGGAGTAAACACCAGGCTCAACCTATAGCCAGTGGAGGCTATGAATGAACTGCCCAGATTTTGTCCTGTAAAATAATCTAACCAATTATCCTTTAAACCTTGCCACTGCTTTGCAACCTCACTTCTGTAAAGTTTCAAATCATTTCTAATCTCTTCTTTCTCCTTGTTTTCAGTACAAGGAGGTGGAGCCAGTGGTATGTTTCACAAGATACTTTTTGTCTCAATTACATTTCAGTGCCGTTTACTTTATCTGTTTAAACCTGCATAAACTAATTCTGTTTTCCTTTTGCTCTGCAGTGCTGCTCCTTTGAATGTCAGGTAGGTGCTTTCATGTCAAACCGCATTCATTTACAAACAATTGAGATTCTGGTAACTTGTTGGATCAGGATGTTTTACATCTGTCAAATCTTACATCTTTATAGGCACAAAGAGGAATTCCAGGTGTTCATGGTGATCCAGGGACAAAGGTCAGTGTCTTGAGTCTTCTTACTGTTTGTATGTATGTGTGAGCATCTGTGTTGATGGGATTGTGTGTGTGTTGGTGGGACCGTGAGTGCGTGAGTCAGTGTTGATGTGACTGTGTGTCTGAATTGGTGGGGCTGTCTGTGCATGAGCATCTGTATTGATGGGACTGTGTGCGTGTGTTGATGGGACTGTGTGTGTGTGTGTTGATGGGACTGTGTGTGTGTGCCGTTGGGACTATGTGTGTGTGTTTATTGATGGGACTGTGTGTGTGTGTGTGTGTTGATGAGACTGTGTGTGTGAGCATCTCTATTGATGTGTGTGAGCGTCTGTGTACTATCTCGTGCATGTGTGGAAATGATACAAACGCTTGAAGAGAATCTACAATGTAGATCATTTCTTTATTTTCCAACAGGGATCGGACGGTCGTCGGGGCCCACACGGTCCTGCAGGTGTTCCCGGACCCCCGGTGGGTATCACACTCAGCTTTCTCCACCTCCCATCATTACAGTAAACACTGTCCAGCACCAAGAACCTCAGACAGACAGACCATAATTGTACATTCTACAGTTTGTACATTCCCGTGTCTTATCAATGACCCTTTTCTTATTGCTATGTTAACAGGTTCTTCCAAAGTCAATTTTGCATCATATGAGTGTAATGTTTCAATAAGGGCTATTGGACTGGTGCTGTTTCTAACCCAGCCTTCTTACAAAATGGTGCATTTATTCAGTTACTTTCCTGTAAGACCTTGAAGCCACACTGGCTTTCTGCTGCACAGTGCTATCATTATTTTATACAAATGTACAGAGCTGATAACTAACCACACTGTACCGAGCTGATATCCTACCACGCTGTACCAAGCTGATATCCTTCCACAATGTACCGAGCTGATAACTAACCACACTGTACACAGCTGATATCCTACCACACTGTTCAGAGCTGATAACTAACCACTGTACACAGCTGATATCCTACCACACTGTTCAGAGCTGATAACTAACCACTGTACACAGCTGATATCCTACCACACTGTTCAGAGCTGATAACTAACCACTGTACACAGCTGATATCCTACCACACTGTTCAGAGCTGATAACTAACACTGTACACAGCTGATACCCTACCACACTCTTCAGAGCTGATAACTAATCACACCGTCCACAGCTGATATCCTACCACACTGTTCAGAGCTGATAACTAACCACACTGTACACAGCTGATATCCTACCACACTATTCAGAGCTGATATTTAATATTTCATACAGAAAGAAAATCTCATTGCTTTGTAGTCCAGTCTAATGTTTCCCATGAAGACTCTGTTGATTTAGCTATTAATGATTTCTGGCTGTCATTTGAGTTCTAAAGCTGTGTCATTCCTCTTTCAGGGATTAATTGGTGATCTGGGTCCCGCTGGTCATCCTGGCATGAAGGTATGTATTTGCAGTTACGCTGTCTTGTGACACAGTCACTTGTCGCACGTTGCTAAGGCCGAATTCTTTTAATGCTCTTTTTCCTAATATGGTGTTTTCTGTTTTCTCGACAACAGGGCGACAAGGGAGATCGTGGTGAAAAGGTATGTACTTGGCAGAAGTTTCAGCTTTCTGAAGGTTATTTTTATTAGTAAATTCCAAATCGAATGGGGTGCAGAACTGCGCTGTAATTGGTAATCTCACAAGTCAAATGATATGCCTTCTTATTACAAAACTGGGATGGAATTTGAGAGATTGGGGACAATTAGGTGGAAAGCCCCCCCACCGATGGTGCGGCAGGTAGGACATGGGGTATGAAGCAGATTGGTGACTTCTGAGTGAAGGGAGCGGGAGCGGTTGGGTTTGTCGGGTTTCAAGAGGTTGCAGAGGTAGGGTGAGGCGATTCTGTGGAGGGGTTTAAGGCTGAAATACCCTACTTAACACAAACGTGAGTATCCCAGATCATTTAGGCCATGGATGCACCACGTTGTGATGGTGACTTTATGGTCTATCCTTGCCTGGTTTTCAGATCTCTCGGCTGCTTCAAGCCCATCTTTGGGTCTTCAAGCTCACAGTCCAGGCCGATGATCAGATGAAGTTCTGGGGAAGTGCTATAGGGCTGGAGTTTCTTCTAGTGTCCTGGGAATGCTCTCACCTATTTCATGTTGAGTTGTGCTGCTCACTGTGCCGCTCGTGAGGCGTTCCTGGTACCCAGTACCCACCTAGTGGGGGCTCAGACCTTCACTTCTCAGTTGTCTGATGACCCTATCATTAGTGACTATCCAGGGGGGAAGCGGGAGAAGAAGGAGGATCTCTTTGGGGCGAGGTTGGCTCCAAGACGTTGCTCAGCAATAACATTATTCACTTATGTAGCACCTTTCGCAAAGGAGAACATCTCTTATAGAGAGAAGGAGAGCAGCCTGAGCTGGGAGGGAGATGGGCAGAGACGAAGGGTGCGAGACAGAGGAATTTCAGAAGAGAGATCTCGAGGCGGGGGGCATGGGCCAAAGTGGCTGAAAGTTCACCTATGTGCATCTCTCAGTAGTTTGCTCTGCAAACCCTTGACCATGGTGATGGCTTTGTGACTGTGTGTCAGATGCCCACAAAATCCAAGGAACCTACCTTTTATTCCTTTGGTTTGCGTGTTTGGCCTGGTAGATTGAGGTTGGAGGAAAAATGTGCATCGACGGAGTGATGATGGAATGAGGAGCAGGATTCATTCAATCCAGTTTAGAGATAATACTGGATGCTGCGGTGAAATGGTAATGTTGTGAAGAATTTGGTTTGTTAAACTGGTTATGCTTCACTTTCAGGGTATTCGAGGACACAAAGGAGGGAAGGTTAGTAGATCACTTTTATTTTAATATTTTCAAGATTCACGTATTCCTGTTTTAGACCTGGTTTTAAAAATAAAGAACCAGGCGCTTTGGTTGGCTCTGTATTAACTGATCTCTTTTTGTGTTCTGGCTGGTGACTGTAGGGTGAGAAGGGAACTCCTGGAAAGGATGGCAGAGATGGTGAGAAGGTAAGACCATCTGAATACAGAGAAACCTCTTTGCAAATACAGAGAAACCTATTATAGAGAAAGACCAACTGCCAATCGTGACATTTCTAACTGCACAGCAGTACATCAGTCCCATATTAATTATCACCTGAAACAAATCCTAAAGAGAGTTATAGACAGGCTTACTGTAGACTGACAGACAGAGATATGAAGAAAGTAATTTGAATCGAACTGGCCATTACCACAAGAAATAAAAAATCAAATATGCTGAAAGGTGATTTTTAGTAATAATAATAATAATCCTTGCATTTGATATAGCGCTTTTCACGCCTTCTAGACGTCCCAAAGCGCTTCACAGAACATACTGTAAAGTGAATTGACTGTATATTTGTGGGCGAACATGGCAGCCAATTGCGCACAGCAATGTCCCACAAACAGTCATGGATTGAAAAATGACCAATTTATTATTGTTTTTGATTTTGGAGGGATTATTATTATTGTGTGTGGAGTAAGGAAACTTGCCCAAGGTTTCGCGCTGCCTGGAATTGAACTCAGGTCTCTCACTTGCAAAGCGAGTGCTCTAACCACTGAGCTACAGGACTCCACACTCCACACTTTTCTAGTGTGTTTGGTGTTTTTATTCATTTCTTCTATAAATTAAGCTGTAAGGCCAGGCAAACACCTTCAGGTTAGCAGTCAAGGGCACAAGGGATTTACAGCAGACCAATTTTATTCTTGTCTTCAAGATTAAAAATTTGTTTTTAATATATTTTTTCCTTTGTTACTAATTTGGCAGGCGCTGTATTAACTGATCTCTCCTGGTCTTCCAGCTTATTTGACTAAACAACAGTGCATTTTCATACAAGTTAGATAACACAAGTGCCTCTCTATCTCCAGTGAGCAATTCTGTAATGTGGGTGTCACGAATCATATTACTATTACAGTGCATTTAAAAGTATCCTTGTTGACTTTCTATAATACAAGCTGTAATACGCATATAATAGGTGTATCATTTTATATCTAGCTTGATGTAAACTGACGCAATGATGCTAAACTATTTTATTTGATCAGGGTGATTCTGGATATCCTGGTCTACCAGGCTGCAAGGGATCCCCAGGGTTTGATGTAAGTATGATACTCTTCCTTCAAGCTGTGAAATTTGTCTTGAAAAGGTTTCAGAGACCATTTTGGTCCATTTGATCCCATTCTTCCCTTTGGAGCTTAGTGATGTAGTAACACAACATAGTTAGGGAATGAGCGTAGGAGGAGAAAACAGGCACTAAAACAGTGGAAATCTCTCCCACTGACTTAGAATGAAGGGAAAACAGTTCACCCATAAACTCCTGCCACATACCACACAAAAACAACAGCAACAATTTGCATTTATTATAGGATATTGCCTCAGCGCTTCACAAGGACGCGTCAGTTGCCAAGAAAAGCAGAGGAGGAGGGGTAAAGGGGGGTGAATGTAGGTATGATCAAAGAGATTTTTAGGAAGGATTTAAAGACGGATAGAGAGCAAGTGAGAGGGAGGGAGTTCCAGAGGTCAATGGCAAAACAGCTGAAAACATAATATTCACCACACTTTAAAGCGATTCTTTCCACAAAGCGCTTTGAGATTTTTTGATCTATGAGCCACTACATTGAGTGTGAGTATTATTTATATGCAATGTGCAGTCAACTGCATTCAGGTGGGTGTGAATAGAAGATATATAATTCAGATATCCCGTAAAGCAGGCCTGTCTGGTTTTGGTTAGATTGAATGAATGCGGGTTTGAATGTGTTTTGACTGTGTTTTCTGTTCAACAGGGTCTCACAGGACCTCTGGGTCCCAAAGGAGATCCTGGTCCCTTTGGAAGCAAAGGAGAAAAGGTATAATTCCATCGAAAAGTGTATTATATAATGGAGTGATGTGACGCAGAGTTTGAGCAAAGTTAATCCTCTTCAATGCTGTTAACTTTGTGAACAGATTTTGTAACGATTTCCAGGCTGACGTCACTTAGCAATGTTTGTATTTGTGTTTGACTGTGGGGCCGAAGACAGGCCCTGACCCTGAGAATCACTGCTCGGTGTTGCAAATCCTTTGCAAGGTGCTGGAGTGAGTACGAGTTGTTACAGAGGAGATTTGTTGGTGGCAGATGTAATCGGCGACAAAATAACATAACATTATGCCGTTAAGCCTCCAAGAACAAATGGAGCTAATCCACTTTATTTAAATGCACATCATGCTGGAATGTTCATTACCTTCTGATTTTGAACTTCTTTAAGTTATGTTTTCATAGGTAAATGATCTATTGGAAGGGCTGGTCAGACACAATCCATTAAAACTATTAAAATGGCGGGACAGGCTCGATGGGCTGAATGGTCCACTCCTGTCCCTATCTTCTTATGTTCTTGTTCTAGCCTAGAGTTCTGGTTTGGGCTCAGTTAGTGAATGGAGTTGAAAAATTACACCTTGAGGAAGTGATAATGTTCACTGATGATCCAGAAAAAAGAGCCTTGGGATATGTACTGGCTCTTCTACATGCACAGTCCCCTCTGTCCAGCCAACTCTCAAGACTTTGATTCCAAATTTAGTGGGGGTGAGGCAGAGGAAATGGGGCAGGGAGCTTCAGAGGTTAGGGACACAGTGGCTAAAGATATAGCCACCAATAGTAGCACAGAGTGATCGGGTGATGCAAAGCAGGAAGAACCCATTGGGATGTTGAAAATGGGTGTGGGAATAAGGCAGGGAAATGGGATTAAAAGATCTGCCACAATCTAATGAAACAGCAGAACAGGTGTGAAGGACTGAATGGCCTCTTCCTGTTAACATACATCAGTGAGTAAGGACAGGAGGTTATAAGGAGTGGTGGAGGCTCATGTGGAGTATAAACAAAGACTGAGATGGGCTGAAAGTGATTCTGTATTTTACTTCATGCTTTTGTCAGTAATGCTCATTCAATCGCCTTTGTGTCATCACTGTAAACTCCCCTCAGAACAAAGTGAACAAACACAGGGATAATTACAACAATAATAATAATAATAGAGAAATATTACAGAGAAATATAGATTTCTTCCAAGGCCAATGGTCAGCCCATCCTAATTCTCGCTTCGTAAAGAACAATTTTAAAAATAAATCTTGAAGAAAAATTTTGTTTTAAATGTTTTCTGCTGGCAGTTAATATAACCTGGGGGAGGGGATACGGGAACTGGGTTCACAGTTAGGAATAACCAGATGATACATGTGGTTATCCAGGGATATTGTGTGCAGATGCCCGCTGTGTTTGGAACAACTTGATTAGTAGTCACAGAGTGAGTGCATGTGAAGTAGGTAATAAGACTTTACGGACTTGTTGACTTCATCATTTTTCCTTTCCAAAGTCATAAAGTGAGGCTGTGCCAGTCTACCAGGAGATTAAAATGAGTTCTGATTTTATGAATGTCTTACAAAAGGCTCTTTTAAGGAAACATGCTGCTCTGTATGGCAAATGTAGTGAACTCATTACAGAAATCCCAGCTCAGGAGGCGAGCCCATGTATCGATGCGTGCTGGGTTACTGCGCTCCCTAAATTTAGCAACTTTGTCACTTTGGCCCAGTGAGTACACAGAATGAAAAGTTATTTCTGTAACGTGCAGCAGAGCACACACTAATCGAGACCAGCCGCACTGCGAATGTTAAAACAACAATTAGCATTTTTATAGCGCACTTCATGCGGGGTAGCGTCTTGGAGCTTGACGCCAAGCCGGGGGGGGGAGGGAGGAAGTAATTGTAGGCACAGTCGAAAAGGAAGATCTTCCGGTGCAATTGAAGACGGCAAAGAGTGGGCCAGGCGGAGAGATTGAGGCAGAGAGTTCCATAGTGTCGGTCTCTGTACATCAGAGTACCTCCTTCTCTATCTGACTCTGTGTGTTTTTCTCTCTATCTACCCCTCTAACTCTGTGTTGTGTGTTTGTGTGTCTCTCTGCCTCTCTAACTGTATATGTGTGTGTGTGTATGTCTCTCTCTCTTTCTCTCCATCTCTTTAACTCTGTTTGTATGTCTGTGTCTCTCTCTCATGCTGTACTTGCCTGGATTGGATCTCTTCACCACTTGTTGCTCAGGAACAATCGCGATCCTAGGAACTAAAACCTTATGCTGAGTGACTGTACTTTGACACAGAATCTGCTGCAGACCAATGGATCTGGGGATAGTTGGCGCATGATTAAGTGACGTTCTTCTGTCATTTTATTTTCAGAATGTGATTTGCACTGTAAAATATCACAGCTACACAATGTGTTTTATTAAAATATCACAGCTACACGATGGGATAGCCTTTGTGGAGGGATATGCCGTCTTATTTTTAGTGATCCGAGTGCACTGAGCTTCGAATACAAAATTCAGGACATGTTCAGAGGGTTATTTAATTCTCTTAACAGGGGCGACCCGGTGTAAATGGAGAGCGAGGAAGGCAAGGATCGATTGGAAAAACAGGGGAAAAGGTTTGTTGTGGTTATTATTTATTATTCTGTATTTAAAAAGCAATTTGTGATTGAAGAGAAAGGACTGGAGAACGAAACTTGTGTCCGGGATGGGGCGGGGTGTGAGATGGGGGGGTGAGACAGGGGGGAAGAGATGGGGGGGAAAGAGAAGGGGATAAAACTCAAGGGGGGAGCATGGCTCGGGGTGCAGAGGTGGCAATGAGACTCAGGAGGGGAAGTGAGACACAGTGGGGGGGAGAGAGAAATCAGACTCCAGGGGAGGAGGGAGGACATGAGGCTCAAGAGGACAGATCGAGGGGATGTGTTACTCATGGGGGGGATGAGATTCAACGGAGGAATGAGACTTGAGAGGGGATAATGATACCGAGGGGTGAGCATGACTCAAGGGGGGGAGGGCGTGAGACCCATTTTTGTGGGATTATGTGTGAGTAGTCAGTAACAAAGGGGGACTTTGTGCCGTGGCTCTGTCCCTCCTGTAAGGTCACATGTAGTGAAGCGGTGCCCAGCACAAACACTACGTGACGAGGTTAAAGTGATTGTTGATGTTTTGCATGAACAGGGAGACCCTGGAACAAGAGGAAGTAACGGGGAGCTTGGAGAGCGAGGCGATGATGTAAGTGAGAACATTCTTTCAGTGAAATCTCTTCCAGCGATCCAGCAACAAAGAACCAGTGGGGGTGGGTGTGGGGGGGAAATGGGACCGTGGTGGGGTGGGGTGTGTTTACGGTACCAACATTGGAAATAAGGGTTCATATTACAGTCCAATGCTATATGCCTGGAATGAAATGGAATGTGGCTGATGTTTAATAGCTACAGTAAACATAGATGTTAAATCAACATTCGTGATAGCTGCGGTTAAGGATCAAAATCACTTTAAATGAGGTTCAAATTGATTTCCCTTCCTGTGGGAAACTGGACAGCCCTGGGTGGTTTGCATACATGGGGAATGGTGAGGGGGGATTCATCTTATCTTTGTACTATTCACTGATGTTAAGTATTTCCTTCACAGGGTTCTCCTGGAGGGGATGGAGCTGCGGGCCCAAAGGTAATGTGTCACTTATCATCGTCTGCGAGTAGGAACTCAGTGAGAAGATCTTTCACTGTCTTCAAGCCCCAGTACATTTGAATAAAACAACGCATTGAATAAAACTACACAAGTGCTATGAACTGGTCCCACACGCATGTGATAAGAGACGATAAACCAAGGTCCTGTCTGCCTGTTTGTTAGAGATCCCGTGGCAGTATTCGAAAAGAGAAGGAAGTTTCTCCTGATTTCCTGACCAATAATCTCCTGAATAAAATGGGTCTTTCACTCCCTGAACTTTGCTAGGTGCAAATTGACTGCCACATTTACCCACAAAATACACACAGTCACACCACTTTACAATACATATTGTGAAGGCATTGTGATGTCTTGATGTTATATCGTGCTATAGACCTCATGTTATATCAAATGCAAGGATATTATGATATTTCCCTTGCATTTCATTCCTTGTATACTTTTAATACTTCATTTCACTACTGCAATATTCTACACATCAAACATTATTTTTGTTAATGATGATATATAACCTTTAGTGGACTTAATTTGAAAATGCTTCAGGTTTCCTGCCAAGGATAACACCTTCAGTTCTATTGTACTGTGCATCGACTTGTTTTTTCATACACCAATCCTTACTTTTGATATAGCCTTAATAATAATATGATAATAATAATCCTTGCATTTGATATAGCGCTTTTCACGTCGGGAAGACGTCCCAAAGCGCTTCACAGAACACACTGTAAAGTGAATTGACTGTATATTTGTGGGCAAACGTGGCAGCCAATTGCGCACAGCAATGTTCCACAAACAGTCGTAGATTGAAAATGACCAATTTATTATTGTTTTTGGAAAATGAATTTCAATTTAGAAGTTTTAAAGTGGCTCAGTTGTACCACTCTCATCTCTCATTCAGAAAGTTCAAGCTCCACATCAAGACTTTGAACTCATAAAATCCAGGCTGACATCTCAATACAGTACTAAGGGAATGCTGTGTTGTTCAGATGAGATGCTAAAACAGGGTCCCCTTTACCTGTTCAGGTGGAAATTAAAGATCCCATGGCAGTATTCGAAAAGAAAAGGAGGTTTCTCCTTGCCAATTCACTCCATGGCTGTTTGTGGGACCTCGCTATGTGTAAATTGGCTGTCACTTTCTCCTTCAAATTACAGTTCTATAGTGAATGCTGTGAAGCACTTTGAAACATCCTCCTGCTATGAAGATTCTGTACCAAATGCAAGGATTTTTATTTGTGAAAGTCCTTATGCCTCACAACCTGAGGGATTATTTTGCCCATATGTTTTTTTAAAAGAAATTAATCTTCTACGAACATTGAAATCTTTGGTGGCAACACTGTGGCATAGGCTCTTTCTAGTCACTGTATATTTCTACCACACCATCATCAAGGACCTGTTGGGCTGCAAAACCATATAAATAATAAGCTTCGCGTTTGATATAGCGCCTTATTACGTCTTCTAGACATCTCAAAGCACTTCACAGAATATACTGTAAAGTGAATTAACTGTATATTTTGTGGGCAACTAACAGACATTTGCACAGATCTTTGCCCATTGAGTCATGTAAGTGTTTGCCTGATTGATACTGTATGGATCTCATAAACCTGATCATTGTATTTCTCCTGGTCTCTAGGGTGTTCTAGGTGAGGATGGACCAGCAGGACCTCCAGGGAGAAGAGGATCCAGGGGAACCAAGGTATCTGAGATATCGGGGTCTATCATTGTCCAAGTAGATTATCTTGTTGCGTCTTTATAATGGGGAATCCTATTATAAATGTAACAAAATTGCTATTTTGGGCAATCGCAAGATTAATTGTGTGCAGAACGTTGATCTTGAACACTTTCTACTGAAATTACCAACTTATGAAATACATTTTGCATTTCTTTAATCCTGGGATCATCAACAGCCTGGTATCTGTCAAAGTTTCCTGTCAGCAGACAAGTCACTCGCTGATGAAAGATTGACTGGGATTCACGCCAAGTCTAACCACCCAGGGATTCTTTCACAACTACACTGTAGGGGAGAATAGGTGTTTCAATTTCCACAACCTGTGCTTTTCCTCAATATTCTGCTGAAGAGTGTAGTGGTCTGTACGTCAAGCTCCACTCACTACAGTGCCACCCCCAAACACCCCCAGAGTATCTGACTTCTAGCCACCAGCCAGGAAGCACTCAGAAAGCTACTGAACACGCCTTCTCAGCTAGTCTACAGCTTCCTGCCTGGTTCGGACTTTGCTAAACAACCAGAGTCTTCGCGAGTCTTACTCGTTCTTCCCGTGGGAAGACCATGTGGGAAAGCAAGTGGTTATAGAATTGTGAAATGGTGCTCTGGTTGATCTTTACTCTCAGTGAACACTGGCCTGCTCCATGTCGCCCCCGCCTGATCCACTCCACCATTAGTGGCCAAGCTTTCAGCCATTCTGTCACCCTCTGTCCATCCCGGAGCCCCTCTGCCTCACGCTCTTCCCCATTCCTCCCCCCTATCCCCCGCTTTTCAAACCTCCTTTGAGATCTACGTTTCCAATCGTGCCTTTGGCCACCTTTCCTCCTCCGATATATATGTAAAATGTAAACAGAAACAGCTCATTGGCTCCTCAAGTCAGACCTGGAATGGATTGTGATGCAGTGTTAAGTGTTCAGAATCATTTTGGTAAATTTACTCTTCTCTGGCGACGGGCCGAGGTATGGAATAGCATTGGCTGCAGACATTATTTGCTTGCTATCTTACTTTAGAGAGGCTGCGAGCACCAGTGAAAGTTTTCATGACCTACAACAGGATACAAATGATTAGTGATAATCGAGGGTTTAAGTAAAAGCATGATGGCTTCATACTCAGTTTCTATCCTTTCTTCTCTACAGGGAGATTCAGGGCCTCAGGGAGAACAGGGACGTGAAGGTCCTACCGGAAAGCAGGGAAATCCAGTAAGTACACACTTAAAGATGATGTCTACTGAACTGTGGTCTAAACTGTGACTAAAAGGTGGTCAGAACAGTTAAGAAAGCACAGAATCTTGTCTACACATCTTGACCTCAGGTGGTGACCAACCTTTATGTTTGACCAACAAAATAAATGTTCTTGATTGAATATTTCTTAATTTATGCCACAAAATATTAAATCAAGAAAACACACTACCAAGCGAACTCAGACATACCTAGACTCAGGTGAATGTTTGGGGGTGGGGGGGACTGCTTCTTGACAGCCCTAGAGGTCACAGGTTGACCACCACTGGTCTACGCTGACACTCCAGTGCAGTGCTGGGTGAGTGCTGTATCATTGGAGTTGCTGTCTTTTCAATGAAACATTAAATTGTCTGCTTGTTCAGGTGGACACACAAAATCCCATGGCAATATTTAAAAAGAGAAAGGAGTTTCTCCCCATGTCTTGGCCAACAGTCATATAAGTCAATTGGTTATTCACCTCATGGATATTAGTGGGACCCAACTGGTGCAAATGAATGCTGCCATTGCCTATAAAAACAGTCACTATACTTGACAGTAATTACTTGTGAAGTGCTTTGAGATGTTCTAATGTGACAAAGCTCTATTTTCATGCAAGTCCTGTCTTTTCTTCCTGTTAGCTTAATGGAATTGCCTGTAATGAAATGAATGCAAATTCCTTATGAAATGGGCCCTAGGGAGATGTGTGCAGTGGAAAAGGGTTGTTTCTGCATTTAAAACATCAGTGGCTTTTATACCCCAGATTGTAGAGGATGAACAGAAGGCTCTAGTGATATTTATTTGATACTCAGAATAGCAAAGGATGTTTAGAAATTTATAATAGTATCTTTTCGCCTGTTTCTTTTTCGTCCAAGGACTTGTTTAAATGAGATAAAACATTTCAGTGGAGTAAGTCTTATTTAAAGTAAGAATAAAAAACACATATACATCGTAGAGGCATAGGGCTTGCCAAGGTGGAAGAGATTTAGGTGTATTAGTTAACTCACCGTTCACTGTGTCATTAGAGGAATGAGCAATGAGCAATAATTAGACAAGTCTGGAAAGGGAACATCTCAGAGGAGACCTTATAGTTATAAATGGGTTTCAAAAAGTAAATCCAGAAATATAGTTTAGGATGCACAAGACAGTAGAACAAGAGGACATGTGTTTAGAGTTGCAAAAGACAATTTCAGAACAGACAGGAAGTATTTATTTACCCGGAAGGGAATTAACAACAACAAATTGCAATGATATAGCATCTTTCACATCAGGAGGGCGTCCCAAAATGCTAGATAGTCGAGTGTTTGCGCATTTGTCAATGTTTAATTGCTGGAGCAGGTTGCCAGAAAATCCCGACTTCCAAGTAGCTGTGTGTTTGATTTTCGGCTTCAGTAAAATTATTCTTTAGATTTTGTTTAGCAAAAAAGCTGTGCTTGCTCTGACTGGCAGTCAAAAGCAATCATTCGCAAGTCAACTGAACAGCCTAACTTTATGGACAGTGACATTGGGAATGATGGCAGGAGCAGGGCATCACACTCTCTCTCTGACACATAGTTCCTGATTAACATTTTAGGAATTTCTAAACATAGCCCATCGACTAATTATTTGGAACAAACTAGATTTATGCACACAACAATTAGGAATGTTCTCAGTGCAATGAACTGGATCTCCTTTGGAAAATAAGACTTCTTTTGAGACTTATCACAAAGCAATTCTTGGTCATTCCTCCATCCTGGCTCGGGCTGTGAAAGTGTGTTTAATGTTATTTGGTCTTGTCTCGGATTCTGACAGATCATCTTAGCTACAAAACTGTGAGCAATGGCTCAATGCACTATACCTTACCCAGCTGTCCCCTGAGGGCCGTACCCAGTGCAATGCAAAATACAGGCCAGTTTTAGGAGATGTCGCCAGTGCTTGTTTAAACAGGATTTGGCTTCAACATACATACAATTATTCAACAAACTTTAAACATCACACATTCTTCCCAAAGCCCATGCTCTGGTTCAGCCAGTGGCTGCACAAATTTCTTATAGGAAAAGTCAATCCTCTGACTCTTCGAGTTCCCCCAGAGTAGAACTGTTTCCTGATGCTGTTCAATAAAAATTTAAAGATATTAAATTTATTTTTAAAAATATATATTTTGGGAATAGTCACCATTTTATCAACCTCAGGGGTGAAGGAGTGAGTGTATATGCTAGAGTTTGAACCAGCAATTTATTGGTGTCATGTCTCATACTCCCCTGAGTGAGTTGTCCAAGACGGCAGTTGTTGAGACTGCAAGCCACAGATTATCCTCTTAACTAAACAAAAAAAGGGTTATATCTAATGTCCTTGGAACACAGAAACTCTTAACAGGAAGCTTTGTATAGAGGGTCTGTTCCGTGTGCTAATGCGCTGTTCTCATGTGTGTTAATATGTGTGTCAGCCTGGCCCAGTGGTAGCACTCTCGCCTCTGAATCAGAAGGTTGAGGGTTCAAGCCCCACATCGGGACTTGGAATCACTCAGTCTAAGATGATACTTCAATATAGTGCTGGCGGGATGTTGCTCTGTCGAAGGTGCAGTCATTTGGATGAGACGTTACACCGAGGTCTGGTCTGCCAGAACATTAAAGATCCTTTGGCTCTAATTAAAAAGAGAAGTGAGTTTCTCCTGATGTCTTTGCCAACAACCCCTCAAATAAAATTGGTCACTCAACCCATGGCTGTTCGTGGGACATCACTATGTGCTATCACTATGGCTGTCGCATTTGACTCATAAAATATACAGTCACTGCACTTCACAGTATATCTTGTGAAGAGCTTTGAGACGTTTCAATGATGTAATAAAGTACTATATCAAATGCAAGTATGATTATTAGTATTATATTCATTTGGACCATTCTTCTGTTTTCTGTGAGTAAAAGCTTTAGCTGTTGCTGCGAGTGAGGATCTTTTTAATTGGTCCATCCTCTTTGTGGGAAACAGTGATGATTTGAACTGGAGGACAGTGCTTCCTTTTCTCCTCTGGCCCCTCCGCCCCTGAAAGCAGTGACTCATACTTGGTGTATCGCTCCTCAAAGATTGGCAACCCGTGCATCAGTTTTCCATTTGCAGCTCAAGCTATTCAATGTTATTCGATAACTATAACATATACAATGTATATATTTATATGTATATTTATATGTTAAGCTCTAGTGTTGGATGGGCTGTAACCGACACATGGCAGAATGTTAATCAGCAGGCTCTGATCGCCCACGAGATCCACAAATCCAATCAAATTGAGCTGATTCAATTGACCAAACCCAAGTAACCATTCTTAATGTGTGCATTTGAGCAGTGAGGGTTGGTGTGCTATTCTAAGTGTGAGAGGTAACACAGGATTGATGCTATCCTCATTTTGATAATCCACACACACTAACAGTAGAAATGCTGATAAGGAACTGGAGTCCACACAAAGTAATCGAGCAACTTGAAGCCGTGACCTCAGTGCTAACACACGAACATCAGTACTCCATTTCAGGCTCAAGCCGGCACTTTATATGATATCTAGCTCTAGTGATGGATGGGCTTTGACTGACACACGGCGGAATGTTAATAGCCAGGCTCCACTCTGCCCACAAGATCCACAAATCCAATCAAATTGAGCTGATTCAATTGAAAACCAAACAAGAAAGGGTTTGTGTTTCTTGCTAGCTAAGATTGGAGCAGGTCTGCTTTCAATCAGTAAGACTGAGCACGCCAGACACTCTCAGTCCCAGGCTTTTCACACAGCAGTACTCTTCCTGTTGTGCCAGGTAATGCACTTGATTTATTTGATAGGCTCCCCTTGCTCTTGATATCACAAAGAAAGTTGTAAATTTTGAATACTAATTTAGAGCAATTTATTTAGGTTTAATTCTAAATGCAGAGGCTGGAGATGACAACAGTGGAAACCCAATCCTTTTTGCATTTCCAGCAGCGTAATGAACATCAGATGCACTGAGCATTTCAAAAGACTTTGGCTGGGCTTCATTTATTGTTGGAAGTCTGAGTGCTGAATTAGGACATTTGATGGTATGTCAATAGGGTTATGGTATAATTGCACCAATGATAAAGCTGCTGTTCATTTTACGCACATGGTTGCAGACCGTATGACTCGGAAGTATTGGTGCATTAGCACTAAGACCTTTTGGTTCCATCAGAGGCACTGCATCCTACTTTGTTTTAGATTATAAACACTAACAACTCCGCTTTGCTGACTGTCATCAAGCACAACATCGACTGATTATACTATAACAATTAAAACTTGAGATCAAAGTTTTATGTTGGACAAGTAAGCTTTACCTTACAGTAAAGCTTACTTGTGGGAGACCTTACTGTAGACCTTATGGTAAATTGTAAACCTATGGTGGATGAGAAGTACTGCAATTGTGTGGGTATCGCAACGTGTGGATTTACTGGCTGTGTTGAGCAGCAACTTGTGATATCTTTACTATTGACACCCATTGAAGTTCAAAGCTGAAACTAGAAGGTTTGTGTATCAGTGTGAGAGAGGTGGCAGTGTGCTCGGATCCAGACCGCTTATGGCTCCACCACTGTCTGTGTAAAGGTAAATCTACTGCCATGATATGTTTTCCTGAAAATTGTTTCTGTTCCAGGGTGAGCCTGGCAAAAGAGGACCACTAGGTTTCAAAGGTGATGAAGGGCTGCCAGGACAAGAGGTTTGTATCGTTTGCTGCTGTACATTAAATTTAACCACAATAAATACAGGGGTGTGGGTCTCAGTGCTCCCAGGTCTGAGTCCACATTGCAGTGGGAGCAAATTGCATTATAACTCAATGATGGACCTTTAAACGAATGCTTAGCTGTTTAACTGAGGAAGGGGTTTAGTTTAGCACCAGCGTTCCTTTATGGATGTAACTGGAAGAGCTGTGTGTTCTGCTGCCTGATACGGGATCAGTTAACTTGTCGGATGATGACTGCTTAGACATCAGGTAAGATTCAGTGTTATTACTAGGCAGTGTATGATTCAGATGTTTCCCAGTCTGGATGATTGTCTTTTTTCTTTCCATTGTCTGGAGAAACCTCTGTGCACGATCTAGAATGTTACAGGGTCATCACAGCCTGGCTAAGAAGTCAATTTGCTTCCAAATTGTTTTCCCTGGTGCTTACTAGCAAAGACTGCAATGAGTTATGTCATGCCAGTACATAAACTTTCATCACCACCAACCTGTGATCATCATACCACAACCAGGGGCTCGCAGAGTCCTGCTTCCAACCCCACAAAATCCAAAAGGGCTCATACCAAAAACATTGTCTCAGATATACCCTTTTCTGGCTCAATGGGAGCACTCTCACTTCTAAGCCAGAAGTTGTGGGTTCAAGCCCCATGTCGGGACTTGGAATTACCTAGTCTTAGCTAGTCTGATGCAGTGATGGAGTTGCTTTACTTTGGATGAGATGTTAAACTGAGGTCCCGTCTGCCTGTTCAGGTGGACGCTAAAGATCCCATGGTACCATTTGAAAAGACAAGGGAGTTTCTCCCAGTCTCCTGGCCGACAAAAACAATGAGATTACATTTGTATAGCGCCTTTCACATCGAGAGGACGTTCCAAGGCGCTTTGTTTTCTCACTCATTGAATGTATGTGGGACATTGCCGTGCACAACTGGCTACTGCGCTTCACCCACAAAATACACAGTTAATCCACTTTATAGTATATTCGGTGAAGCGCATTGAGACATCTTCTACGACGTGATATGGAGCTATATCAAATGCAAGTATTATTATTATTTCCTCGGTTCATGACACTTACTCAAAGGGCTATGTCCTTTAAAGGCGAAGAGCCAGCAGCAAAATCCTCAGAGCTTTTTGAAACAAAGAGAGCGTCATATTCCATGCGCTCTGCACGACCAAGCACTTTGAGACATTTTTCCCGACATGAAAGGCCCTTTACCAGTGTACATTGCATTATATTGATATGGGCTAAGTTTGGCGACCTTCTCCCTGCTCCCCAAATAAATAATTGCAATGCAAATCTAACCAGCACAATATTACAAAATGCAAAATCGAATTTATATTTTTGAAATTGCCTTATATTTATGTAGAAGTGTGGTAAATTCCTGAGACATACTGAACAGAGCAGAACAACAATTAGACGATTCTGGGCACCTGGGCAGTTCTGAACACCTAAAGTCTCTGCAGGCGGGTGGCGGAGAGAAATGGAGGAAGGTGAAATCTAAGCAGTGGTGGACCTCTCAAGAGAACTCTATAATACAAATTTACATTTATACAATATCGTTCAGGTCATTTGATAGTCCAGGCTTGCAGCTCAAGCTGTCGTAGAAGCCAGAGGGAGGTGGGGAGGGGAGAGATGACCATAGACAGGGTTGAAGAAGGTCTTGAGATGGACATGAGGGAGGGAGTTAGTTGGAGAAACTCCAGGATGGAGTTCTAGGAAATGGGGCAGATTGGCTAAAATCCCAAGCGCTGATGTTGAGGCGGATAGGATGGGGTACCTGAACCTGGTTGGGACTCACTGAGCGAAGGGAGCAGCGAGGTTGCTCCACGTCACCTTCCTCTGCACACTGCGGAAGGGTGACGCCACTGAGTCCCAATAGTACAGCCCCACTGCAAAACTTTCCATCGAGTCCTGGCTCGTGGACAAACCAGATGTTTTCTCCGCACAGTTTTGTAGCGTAGCAACGGAGTACAGAATAGCTATTTAAACAACCTGTGAAACTTTCTCAGTAAACTGCCTGAAGGAGAAGTTCTGGCATCTCTTATGCCCGCCTTTCTCCCCCCCCAGAGGTGAACAGATGGTATGTTACAAGCCACATTCCACCATAATCCAGCTTGCCATTACAGAGACTTTCGAAAGTCATTAAAACTGAAATTAGTGCGTTTTCCTTTTGAAAACAAGCCAGAACCTCTCTTTTATTGTTCCGGCTCTGGATGTACAGTATTCTGAGTACATTAAATCCATATTGTGTGCGGTAGCGTCAATCTGGAGCTAACTGTTTATCTCAGGGATACTTCATATTACGCCACCTGCATGGAATTAGTCAAGTATTTGGAAACGCTTTGATATGGTATAAAGTTACAATGCAAGCAGCATTAATATGACACAGTGGAGTTTAAAATGCAGGTTGAAAAGGGTCAGTGCTCTGTAGAGGAAGGAGGGAGGAAGAATGATTCAAAAGGAAATGTACTCTGTGTGATGAATGCCCTCCACACACCCCCAGACTGAATATTTAAAAAAGCAACACATTATGTAAATTATCTCCTAGAGCAAAGCTATTCCCACGAGCACAGTGGACAGGGTCCTGGTGGACAGACCTGATGGCTCAGGTCTCCTGGTTGGAAAAGCTCCTGGCAGGTGGTGGTATCTCTGTTTTCGCTGCTCGTCCAGCATGGACAACCGTTGGGGTTTGGCTTGCAAGGTTAACACCTCTCCCTGTCATCTGGCACTGTTCCTACCCCCCTCAAAACAGCCACTAGCACCCTCACCTTGAAGAAACCTTCTTTGACCCATCACAGCTAACTAGCTACCAGCCCATCTCCCACCTCCCTTTTCTGTCTAAGGTCCTTGAGTGAGCTGTCGCCTCCCAGCTTCGTTCTTTTGTCTCGTCCCACTCCCACCATGAGCCCCTCTAATCGGGTTTTGGTGCTGCCCACAGCACGGAAACTGCTGTTGTCAAGGTCACAATTGATATCCTGACCATGTGTGACCAGGGCTCCCTCTGCCTCCTCGACCTCTCCGCCGCCTTTGATACTGTGGACCACTCAATCCTCTTCCACCGCCTCTCCTCCCACCTCAACCTTCAAGGTTCTCCCTTTGACTGGTTTAGGTCCTACCTTTCACACCGCCTCCGCTTCATCTCTGCAAACGGCTTGTCCTCCAGCCCCCACACCGTCTTGTGTGGCATTCCTCAGGGCTCTGTTCTCGGTCCCTTCCTCTCCTCGCTCTACATGCTCCCCCTTGGTGACATCATCCGCTGACATGGGGTAAATTTCCGCATGTATGCGGATGACACCCAACTCTATCTCTCTGCCTCCACCCTCAACTCCTGGACTACTGGCGTCCTGACCGACTGCCTGTCCGACATCAAGTCCTGGGCGAGGGATAACTTTGTCCGGCTGAACGTTAGCAAAACCGAGGCCCTCCTGATTGGCTTGGGCCAGCACCTCCACACCTCGGGCACTGGCAGCATCAGCTTCCACGGCTGCACACTCAACCTCACTAAGCCAGTCAGGAACCTGGGTATATTGTTTGACGCTGAACTGTCCTTTCTCCCCCACATCCGCGCCATAACCGGCACTTCCTACCACCACCTCCACAACATTGCCAGACTCCGCTACTGCCTCACCCCTCAGGCTGCCGAAACCCTCACCCATCGTCGCATCAAAGCTCGATTATGGAAACTCCCTCCTCATCGGCCTTCCCAACTCTTCCCTTCACAAGCTGCAGATCATCCAAAACTCTGCAGCTTGTGTACTCTCACGCACCAGGCTCCGTGACCCCATCACTCCCACCCTTGCCCGACTCCACTGGCTCCCCAACCCTCAGAGGATCAAATTCAAGATCCTCGTCCTCACTTTCAAGGCCATCCATGGCCTTGCCCCCTCCTACCTCTCTGACCTGCTGACTCCCTACCAACCAGCCCGCTCCCTCCGTTCAGTGGGCTCCTCCCTGCTCCATGTCTCCCGCTCGACCAGTCATACCATCGGTGGCCGGGCTTTCAGCCTCTCTGCCCCCGCACTCTGGAACTCCATCCCACAGTCCCTTCGCCTCGCTTCCTCCCTTGTCTCCTTTAAGGCCGGTCTCAAGATACTCCTCTTCGATCGTGCCTTCAGTCGCCCTCCCACCTCTCTTCCTTCCCTCACCTCTACCCCTCCACCATGCTCAGGTCCTGACTGTCCAGCACCTTGGGATGTCCTCCCGTTGTGAAAGGCGCTCTATAAATGTAATTTTGTTGTTGTTGTTGTTGTTAACAAGAGCTGAGTGGGAGGAATCCTTGCCCCTCCGAGTCCTACCCATGAGCCGGCCAGGCTGGGTGATAGTTGACAATGTTGCGATTCAATTATCACCCAGGATCCAGGAGAATGCCGATGTCCAGTCTCCATTCCTACTTCATCTGAAAGTTTGGGTAGTAGAAAACAAGGTCTCCTGTCAGGGAGGAGTGAATTACCGCCGTGCTTCTTTAACCACTTAGTCTGAAAGAAATGCTCCTCCGACTAGGCCCTTAATAATAGAGAGAATAAATCAAGTTGGCTCAGGTGGTCGCACTCGCTTGAGTCAGGTTTCGAGTTCAAGCCCCAGGTTGGGACTTTGAGCTCACAATCTATTCGGGACTGACACTCCAGTGCCTTGCTGTGGGAGCGTTGCATTGCCAGAAGTCACGGCCTTTGGATGAGACATTAAATCACCTGCCTATTCAGATGGATATTAAAGACCTCAATCCTGTTCGAAAGGAGAAAGGAGTTTCTTTCAATGTCCGGGCCAACAGTCCTCCAAGTAAAATTAGTTGTTCACTTCGTGGCTGTTTCAGGACATCGGTGGGTGCAAATTAACAGCCTTGTTCACTTACAAAATAGACTCCACTTCACATATACTATGGTATATAAATTTTAATGCATATCTTTTTATGTAAGAGCAAAGCTGATACCAATGTGTGTTGTACATAACGCTCATGCAAAGAGGTCAATAGCATTTAAACAGCTGAGACTTGTACACTGCATTTCATGGGGTGTCCTGTGCTAGACACATTTTGCGGGTTAAGAAAACACATGAATTCTATTTGATTTCTCATGGAATCTTGGCTGCTTGCCTCTCAGCATCCTCCTCCAGGCTGGGAGGCCAGACAAAGGGGGAGGGGGCAATGCACAAAGTCTTCTGAGATCTGGAGGCGCTGATTCAGGCGTATTTGTGTGGGCTTGAGAGAGAGAGAGAAAGAGAGAGAGACAACTTAGAAGAACAACTTAACTAAAAGGGCCGTATGTTTGGCTCGGGAGGGATTGTAATGTTATAGCAAACAATTGTCTTAATCACTATTCATTTAGCCCCTACACATCACTACATCTACTTCACATTGACATGTTCAGCTGCTATTTCTCAAACAAGCCCCTGATATTATGTCTTTTGTTTGTTCTTCAGGGCCCAAAAGGACCCCTAGGTGCAAAGGGCTACCCTGGAGATCCCGGGCCAATGGGTGAAACGGTAAGAGCACAGGCTGTGAGCCTGAGGTCATTGTAAGGTCTCCACCACCTCCCAGGTCCAGTCAGAATGGCTGAACCTATGAACTGGGCTCGACCCTTCAAGGAGCGGCAGAGCATTCTTCATTTACTGTGCCTGTCAACTCCAAGGAAACATGTTTCATGTGCAATCCAGGAATTCCAGCGGCTGTGATCATGTTCTGTCCTGATATTCTGCAGGATTCCTATTCCATCTTTAAACAGTTACACCAGGACTCAGTAGCTCAACCGTTTATACTGATCAGGCCAGGGCTCAAGCAGTGCCATGTTGTACCTACTTGATTTAGCATCAATCTCATTGTTTGTCTATCCAGCTCCTTTTCTTCCAATCTTGTGCTTTCCTTTGTCAATGGCCATTCTAAACCTGAGCCCTCGAGTGTATGTACAGTATTAAGTAAGAGTGCAGGAACCTAAGGCAGTTCTGTTTGCTAGGGATAATGATCGGTTTCATCCAGTTCCAGTCGGCCTGGGGAATGGCTTCGGAGCAAAGTTTCCGTGGGGTGGGTGGGGGAATGTACGTCAGGTTACCAGAAACAGTCCCACTCTGATTCCTTATTAAGGAATACCACTAGGAAATACTGCAAATAATTGCATTTTGCTGTTATCCCATCCTGGTAGCCCATGTCCAATTTCCCTTTTCTTTTCCACAAAATGAATGCTTCCAATGCTCTGCTTTCTCCCTTGCACTATAGCACTGATGCTCCTCTGTGGGCTTTTCAGATCAAGTGATTTTATCCTTGCAGAATACCCCCCCCCCCAGTTTCCATTACAGCATCAAACTGTTTGCCTGTTCAGGTGGATGTTAAATTGCCCACCATGACATTATTTGAAAAGAGAAGAGAATGGAATTTCTCCTGGTGTCCTAGCCAGCAACCCTCCCTCCCCAATAAAATTGTTCATTCACTTCATGGCTGTTTGTAGGACAGTACGGTTTGCAAATTGACTTCCTCATCTGTCTACAAAATACAGTCATTATGCTGTACAATATATCCTGTGAAGCGCTTTGAGAGGTCCTCTGGTCGTTAAAACTCTATGTCAAATATGAGAATTATTAATATTATAAAATATTTCTTAAATGAATCCAGCAGACTGGCTTCAGGCACCTTTCCTGGTTACCTGTTCCACTCATGAATTGTAAACGTAAAGATACCTACGTGTACTGCAGACTGCAGAGAATTTTCAAGGCAGCTTACTTGACCCGGGAGAAAAGCTAACAGCATAATAACTGCAGATCTGAGACCTTCAGTGCAGGATTAGCCTTGCTCAGTTTTACTTCTTGCTGATGCTGATATTCTTCTTAACTATCCTTTATTTCTTGGAAATGACAGGGAGATTCTGGCGAGCCAGGCAACGGGACAAGGGGACCACAAGGATTACCCGTAAGTGTCTTCTACAGCTTCTTTGATCTCCTGCCTCACATCTTTTTTCTTTGTTATTTTACACATCTATTTTCAAGGTGCACACAAGGATACAAAGTGGACACAGTTGAGGGTGATTTCCCCATAGGTTGTAAGGGACGATTCGGTGGGATTTCCTGTTAATACCCACTTGTGCCAGATCCGAATATTTACAGACCATCTGGGAATACGATGTGATTACAGCCCCATTCCCCCACCCCCCACATCGTGGAAATTTGCCACAATGTATGTGTCTTTGTAGACTGACACCTGCACTGCTTTGCATTGTGTACTATACACGTGGGAGAAATTTCGCGTGGGTCTAGATTCACTCGGTTTAAGCAGAATTTCAGAGGATCCAGAATTAGACCAATTGCTGAATTCAAGGTTAACCTTAACATAACATGTAGGAGCAGGAGTAGGCCATTCGGCCCTTCGAGCCTACCCCGCCATTCAATCATGGCTGATCTTCTAATCTAACTCCAGCTAATAACCTGACCCTGCCTTATCCCCATATCCCTTTTGCAATAAGAAATCTATCTATCTCAGTCTTGAATATGTTCAAGGACTGAGCATCAACAGTCCTTTGGGGTAGCGAGTTCCATACATTCACCACCCTTTGAGTGAAGAAGTTCTTCCTAAACTCAGTGCGAAAGGGCTGGCCTCCGATTTTAAGGTTGTGACTCCTGGTTTTAGTTTCTCCAACCAGGGGAAACAATCTCCCACTATCTACTCTATCATGCCCTTTGATGATCTTATAGGTTTCTATAAGATCACCTCTAATTCGTCTATATTCTAGAGAATATAGGCCCAAATTGGTCAGCCTATCCTCGTAACTCAGCCCCTTCATCCCTGGTGCTAACCTAGTAAATCTACACTGCAACCCTCCAAGGCAAGTACATCCTTCCTTAAATAAATTAAAGGTGGCTTTCTGCACTTCTTAAACGAAGCCTACAGAAAACTGTTACAAAAAAATAAAGCTGTATTTAAGATTTTACCAAATTGTGGACACTCTGAAATGCTAAGAAAATAGTGTAAACATTGACCCAGGTGGAAATTCCCCCCAGTGATGTTATAATGCGTGAAAACTTTCCGTGCATTCATAAAGTCGCCTCCTGGAATCATTTGATTTGTTATGCATCTGATATGCCTCATAGAGTCCTGGGAAAACGGAGCCAAAGTGTCAGTATGGCTCAGTTGGCAGCACTTTCGCCTTTAATTTAGAAGGTTGTTGGTTCAGCAGTTTGAGGTCCCAGTCTAGTCTGACACTCCAGTACTGTGCTGGGGAAGTGCTGCATTATTGGAGGTTCTGTCCTTCGGATGTTTCGTTAAACCAAGGTCCCGACTGTGGCTGCCGCATTCACTTACAAAACAGTCACTGTACATTACAGGAAATCCTGTAGCTTTGAGACGTGAAAGGCATAGTCAAATGCCCCCTTATCAGTATTATTATTATTGCCTCCATGCCATGATGGTAGGAACTCAATGTCATATAATGAGTGCTAAACATTGTGTGGTATTTAACCAAATAGGGTTAATGTTGTCTCGCAAAAATATTAAATCTGAGCTTCAAATGTTCCAAATCTTTTATTACTGAATTTCATACTCTGCTACACTACTTTGGCTTCTGCAATCACAATATGTAGAAACATTGATGGGTGGGAAGAGGGAGTTCTGACCTGAAGCAGTGTTTTGATGGGTAGAAGGAGCCTTGACCAATTCATTCAATTTACAAACTTCCCAGAAAACATGAATTTTCTCTTGCATTGATTCCATTGGGATGTTTCAGTTGGCATGTCTGATCAGTTTAGGTCAACTACATACACAGAGGTCTAAATAAAACAGCCAACAGTTACATGATGCAGAGTAATTGAGTGACTGTAAATTGCCTGGATGCATTTTCCTCTATCGGTTAAAGATATTAAAATATAGTGAAAAGTTTCAAATGAATTTAACATGTCAGTGCATCAGGTGAAGGGCCTCACTATTGCTCAGTAGATCACATTGTACAGACTGTGCTACCATGTTGTAATATAAAGTAAGAAAATCTTTTATTCTTCCACAGGGTATTCCAGGTAATCAAGGGGGTCCAGGACTGAATGTAAGTTACTTTCTCATCTGAGCCACTCTTTGGCTCGGCTGCATTTTAGTAGCTTTAATGTGAGGAATACAGATTTATTACTCATACCAAAACTCGTCTCTACATATCAAGTATCCCAAATACTTTATAATAATACTGAAAAAAATGACTCTTGCCTTTGGGGGGAAAAAAACATTACTGCCTCTAGGCTCTGGCTCTTATCTATGGATCTTATCTGGCTCCTGGTACTCATAAGATCACGTAGGCATCAGTCAGCTTAGCTCAGTTGCTAGCACTTTGCCTCTGGGTTAGAAGATTGCAGGTTCGAGCTCCATGTCAGGACTTGAGCTCCTAGCTAGGCAAATATTCCAGTCCTACCTTGGGGAAGCGGGGTATTAAGAGCGGACCATCCTTTAGATGACATGTTTATCTGAGGTCCTATCTATGATTTCTGAGGTGGACCTTAAAGATCCCATGGAGCTATTTGAAAAGAGAAGAGCGTTTCTCCTGGTGTCCTGGCCAGCCCTCCAGCTAAATTTGACATTCATCTCATGATGGGACATTGCTGTGCACAAACTGATTGCACGTGGAAAAATATCTAAGTGTACTGCACTTAGTTGCAGATTGAGAGTTGAAGATTCCTCCAGGCAGTAGATGGATTGCAGAGCCTCTTCTCTGTGTGTTGAAGACAAGATGGAAGCGCTTTAATACTTCTTACTGTTCTCCATCTTTCTCTCTTTTAGGGGACGGAAGGTTTACCTGGGCCCAAAGGTGACGATGGTGAACCTGGTGACCCCGGTGAAGATGTAAGTGACAGCTTATTAAAGGAGATGTTGGAGATTCCTTTCTGTGGCCTCTGGGTGGTGGGGGGGGGTGGGGGCTTGCATTGAATGTGTGTAGATGAAGTTGACTAAGTGACTTAGTCTTGGGCAGGAGATCAGTGTGGATTCTGATTGTTATCATCTCTATCATAGTGTGGACATACTTTGTAAACCAAATCCAGGGACACTCACTAAAGAAAAACACTCGTCACAGTTCCTAATGCTGGCAGTACTGGAGAAGTTTGTTAGAGTAATGACTGTGTTTCTCTGATAAGTGTATCTTTTATAGATTTTTATTGTTCTTGCTCAGTTTATTGCTGGACTCAAAACAGGACAAACTTGACCCCAGGAACACAATACCCCATCTGGAAATTGAAAGACATATGACCACCCTACATTAGCCTTATTCACTGTTCCTTGGGCAGCAGGGAATGAATGAGCATAGAAGCTCAGTATCCAGAGAGTTAAATCTTCTAGGATTGGACAACATCAGACATGATGTCTCTCTCTCACAAATCTTGAGTGCAATTTACAAACTCACTAGCCTGGTGACTGGAAGCCCAGAAACCCTAAGATGCACAGATAAAATAATAGCTCAAAGCTCCCATCAGTGGCGCTTCCCTGAACCGGGAGATAATCCAGGATGCGGTTGGAAGACTTCTCATTGCTCTTGCCAGCCCCCACAGTGGACCTTCGCTTCTCCACATGGAAGCCGTCTGGGCCAGATGTTGGGTGTTGGTACACTGTGTAGAGTATATCCACATGTGAGCTCTGCAATGCTACGGCTGTCTAAACAAACACAACCAGCTGCTTCGGCCAGACTCGCTGAGCAACGGGTATATTTAAACTACTCATTACTTTCTTTGGCAAATGTCACCTATAAAACTTGCAGCTACTTGTCCCAGGACAAAAAAAGGCTAACTAAACAAACATCTAAATATTCAACGGGATCCAAATCTCACTTTTCCTCTGATTGTAATGCACAGTATCTGCCCTTCAGATGAGATGTTAAATCGAGGTCCTGCCTGTTTCAGGAGAATGTTAAAGATCCCATGACACTATTCAAAAAGAGAAGGGAGTTTCTCCTGGTCAACAAATCCCTGGATAAAATTGATCGTTGACTTCTTGGCTGTATGTGGGACATTGCTGTGTGCAAATTGGCTATACACAATCACTACACTGCACAGTAAAATCTTGTGAAGTACTTTGAGAGGGTTAGATGAGGACCTATACAAATTGCAAGTATTATTATTATCAATCTCTTCCCTTGTTCTCAATCACTCTCGTCCTCATCCTGTTGTTCATTACACACCTCGTCTTAGGAATGTTGATCTTCCTTGATCCTTCAAAATTCCACCTGGTCCTAGCTTGTGAGACACTTTTGTCCTAAAATAAACGCACAATTGTGGAAAAGTTTTCATTTCAGCTTTGGTATTGGGAGATGGCTTCTGGCAGTTCTCAAAAAGGAAGCTGCTTCCAAATCAAATTGAAAAATTTCTCACAATTCTGCATATCATATGTTTTGTAAATTCTATAAGTACATCTCACAGGCAAAGTCTAAGTGGGTGTTTAAACCTGGAGTGAGAGGAGGCTCAAGGACAGCAAAGTTGCCAGAAAACCTACAGCTGCACAGATAACTAACAGTCAGACAAATGTAAACAGTGTCCAAGTGCAGTGTACGTTATATAAAAATTATTGTACACAGCAGATGACAAGAAAATAAATCATGAAAGGGTGCACTATAAACTTTTCTCTGTGTATGGGAGATAGGGATGCGTTGCAATGAATGTTTGGGTGTGCTGCACTGCAGCCTCACAACACTGGACACTGGGGTGAAGAGTTCAGTTCCATGTTACTGGACAGAAAAGTTAGGAGCATTTCATTCCAGCAATTATTATAAGGAGAGAAAATATGTGGACTGATCTTATCAGTGATCAGTGATCTTATCAGAGAAGTGAGAGACCTGAGTTCAATTCCAGGCAGGGCGAAACCTTGGGCAAGTTTCCTTACTCCACACGCCTAATAATAATCCCTCCAAAACCCAAAACAATAATAAATTGGTCATTTTCAATCTACGGCTGTTTGTGGGACATTGCTGTGCGCAATTGGCTGCCGCGTTCGCCCACAAATATACAGTCAATTCACTTTACAGTGTGTTCTGTGAAGCGCTTTGGGACGTCCTCCCGACGTGAAAAGCGCTATATCAAATGCAAGGTTTATTATTATTATTATTATTATTATTATCACTGAGGTCAGAGCATTGCTCCCAGCTTCTGATCCCATGCAGCTGATCCTAGTACTGCTTGTCCAGATTCATATCAAAGTGAAATGCCACAGAATATCTGGGGAACAGGGCGCCCTGAAAGGGTTGGGGAGTGTGAAGCTCTGTGTAGCAGTGTTTGCCCGTTCAAACGCCGTGGTGCAGAGAGAGTGACTCCTGGTCTCTTGTTTCTCTTTCAGAATGACGTCCCTGGTGAAATAGGTCGTAAAGGAGCCAAGGGTTACCGAGGCGGCGAGGGCTTGCCGGTAAGTATCTATACGTGGAGTCCAGTAAAATGGATCTGTGTTTAGATGTACCCAGACACAAGTTGCACAAGTGGGTTGAACACTTTCCCTATCAAGCATGAGATTCTGTTTGTATCAATGGGCTTTTCTGGTCCCATTTGCTTAGAAGTCTTACTATTTTACATATGGTAAAATAGGGAGTGGCACCAGAGAGCCCTGGGTGATGAGGCTAAACAATTACCAAATATATTGTTGCCCGAGGCTCCCTCACTGGCATTACAACAACAACTTGGATTTATACAGCGCCCTCCACGCCAGGTAGCGTCTCAGAGCACTTTACAGTAACGGATCCCGGGACCGAGCCAGGGGGAAGGGGAGGAAGGTGATCAAAGGCGTGGTCGAAAAGAAAGGTCTTCAGCAGAGACCTGAAAATGGGAAGGAAGGGAGTGAGTGAGGAAGGCAGTTCCAAAGCCTCGGGGCATAGTGCCTGAAGGCTGCCGAGGGTGGAGTGGAGGACTCGGGGGACGAAGAGGAGGCCAGACCCGGAGGAACAAAGGCATTACGTTGAGCAATGTTGTTTAGCAGTTCAACGTTGGGACTGGCATGGAAGATGCAAAGTACAATATCCTGCAGGGTGAGGATCAGTGAGCGGCTGATCACAGCAGTTTTCCATGTCAGATTTCAGACTCGCACAGCACCAGCTTTACAGTGTGGGGTGGGGGATAGAGGTGGCAGTTGACCCATTGTGTCTGTGCTATTGCCCTGTGCCCCATTTGAGCTCTCCACTCTAATCCCATTGCCCTGCTTTTTCCCCCATTCTGTTTACGCTGGTGCTTGATCCCCCACTGCATCTCTTTAAGTTCTTTCCCCCATTGTGACTGTGCAATTCGTCTCGTCGGGTTTGCTTGTTATTTAGTTTACATTATTGCTGTGTTCCAGTAAATTTTATAGACTGTTTAAGCCTGCGGGGTCAGGAGTACAAGCACAATGTGCTGCGATTGCTGTTTAAGATGGTTCATGAAACTCACACTCATTACCTAATATAAAAGGTAGAGAGCAGAAAAAAAGGACTTCTCAGCCACATTTTACAGAAGTTTACTCCCACCGTTTTTCTGTTAAGCTGTTCAGAAAGATTTATAAAATGATAGGATAGAGAAGGAAAAAAATCCCTAAGATGTTATGTTTTCCTTCAAGGCTGACTAGCAGTTAGATAAGTAACAAGACTGAGGTGGAAACATTTTCTTTGGATGACTCCGCTTCCAGACATGTTCTTAAACCTCAGCTGTATTCACATTATTTACATACCTTTCAAGCTTGTTTTATATGAAAAAACTGCAAGATCTCCCTGACATATTAGGCTGTTTCCCTATCTCTCCCCCACAGTTAACATCTGCAGGACCACAGCCATGTGAGTCATTCCACAAAGTATGACTGTACAGGGAAGCAATTGGGCTGAGACCACTTCAAACCTCTCCCAAATAATTTAGTCTGAACATGGTACAAGTGGTATCCATGTGTCTAAGCATTGCCAGCAGACTCATTTCAGTTAGATTAGGATGCACCAAGACATAGAACAAGAGGACACAGGGATATAGTTAGAAAGGGCAATTTCACAATAGATTAAACAACTGGAACAGGCTACCAGGTGTTAGAAACTATGATGGGATGATGGAAGGGTGGATATTCTGGGAGAATGTGATCAGATGAAAAAATCAGTCTTGTGACATGGTGTACGGAATTGTCAGATGTACCGTCCTTCGGATCAGAAGTTAAACTGAGGACCTGTCTGTCTGTTCAGGCAGAAGTTAAAGATCCCATGGCTCTATTCAAAATGAGAAAGGGTTTTTTCCTACAACCCCCCCAGATAACATTGAACTTTCACTTCACGACTGCTTGTGGGACATTGCTACAAATTCACAGTCGCTACACTTTGCAGTAAAAAATCCTGTGAAGTGCTTGGAGTCGTTTCGACGTAGTGTGAAGGCAAAGATTATTACATTTATTATAAATCAAATCAGAAAGCTTGGCCATCGGTGAAGTTAGTCGGAGGGGAGGGGGCAAGCAGAGGGTCCCATTCTCCAGTTTACACCATGTTACAATATTGTAAATGTTCCAGTAGATGACATGGGCTTTGTGGTTTAACACTTTTGTGAATGAGCTGATTCTCATTGGCTATAATGCATTTCCAGGGACCTCCGGGATCTATTGGGATACCAGGACCCAGTGTAAGTACACCGTGAATGTTTACAGCATCAAATATACTCACCCGATCGAGGAAATCTTGTAACTATTTGCCCGAAACAGAAAGTTCAAGGTGTAAGATAATTCTCTGAAATCTTTTATAGGAATGTGAAATATTGGATATTATCATGCGGATGTGCTGTAAGTATTCAGCTTTTCTTTTGAAACCAAGAAATGTTTTAAGTCAGTTCAGTGTTATTAGTTTAACTCCAGTGTTGTTGAAGGAATCAAACAGAACTACAAATTGCACTTGTATTGCACCTTTCACATTTGGAGAACTTTGTCAAGTGCTTTGCAGAAGCCCAGTCTCCGAAGGTAGGTAGGTAGGGGTTGGGAGGGATGGCCTAGTGGACAAAAGTGCAGTTAGAAAATGCTAATGTATTCAAACACTTGACTGATTTTTTTTAATGTTTTTAATATCACTTTACCATTTATGTTCTTGTAATGTCCCCCGCAGCTTGTCAGCACAATAAGCAGATTCCTCAAATATTACAAAACAACAGCTCGTGTTTGTATAGAATCACGTAGAATAAAATCTCAGGGCGCTTTGCAAAGGCGCGGCTGGACACTGAGTAAAGTGAGAGGGGAGAGGAAGAAGAGTGGAAGGTGAGGTCACCACAGGTGTGGTCGAAGAGGAAGATTTTAAATCGGGGCTTGAAGACGGATTGAGATGGCGGTGAGACAGAGGGGCCGAGGGAGAGAGTTCCAGAAGTTGGGGGGGTGGGGGGGGGGGATGGGGGAAAGGGTGGAATCGGAAAGCTCAACCACCGGTGATAGATAGCAGAGAGCCCGAGTTAGGGGGAGGGGGCGAGCAGAGGAACAGGGTTGCACTCCCACTCTTCCCATGTTCACTTGCCCTGTTCAACCAGTTTGCCAGACAAAATGGAAAGTGATTGCAGTGTTCTAACAAGATCCATGAACCAAGGTCACATGAAGAGGTCTTGATAATGAGAAGCTCAGATTTACATTCCTTATACCAAGACCATTGGTAGCTGTGAGATTCTCCTCACAGTCCCTGGATTTCTGTAGTGTCCCCGCTCCCCCCTCCTGTGTTATCACTGTTATGTTATTGGCCCAGGAATATCTTTTGAATCTTTGAAATCTTTCACCTTTGTATATTCAAAGCTTTGCTATGCCAATCGTAACAAAAAATATTCAGAGTGCAGCAAATTGGTTCGCGACCAAAAAAACAAAAAAAGTTGATCCTCGTTGGAGCAGAAAGCTGTTTTCTGGCATTTTGAGGACTACATTTCTTTTTTTTGCTGCTAAAGGAAGTGACTCTGACTTGTGCGTTTGTGATTGAAAATCCCAAACATTGTCAAAGTCTTTGACCTCAGTACTCTATGCCTCTCTTCTGATACAATGCAATTTCATGCTCTGCTTTCACTGAGAATTGCATAGAATCTGCAACACTCAAACTGACCTAATTAGATCTAACTATTCCCTTTTTCGTGTATACATATTTCTGCTGATTTGTTTTAATAAGAAAATTAAAAAATGAAACAAAACAGAAGGAAATATTGTGCTAATTGTGTTTTTACTTTCTTTCCTTCGTTAAATAGCGTGCTGTGGTGAGTAGAGCCAATATTTATTTGCTAAAGCTGGGTTACTATTGGCTGTTGTATGGTTCTCTCTGTTGGTATCAATCTCCATCTTTAACATGTTTACTTTAATATGTAAAGATTGTTGACCCAAAGGATAGTTGCCCATTTTTCAGTATATTATACTGTAGATTCACAGATTCAAGGAAGGATCCCATTAACTTGATAGAACCGACTTTAACACTTTCTAGCCCAAATCTCCCAGGCAAACAGCAGAACGATATAAATGACACAATTGAACCCATATTCCCTTAAATCCTGTAATTTGCAGTGATTATCATGAATGTTGCTGCATGAACAAATCTGGTTTATTTTCCCCTGTCCAAAAATAAATGCCTGGAACAGTTCATTGAAACTGTGCTCCTGCTGCATTGTCTATTAACCTTTCTTTTCGACCGCGCCTTTGGTCACCTCCCTCCCCCTGGCTCAGTCCCGGGATCCGTTACTGTAAAGCGCTCTGAGACGCCGTCCGGCGTGGAGGGCGCTATATAAATCCAAGTTGTTGTTCTTCATGCTGAAGCTGACATTTTGCTAGCCAGTGAGCAGTCCTTGCTTGCTTTCAAAGTGGACGGAACTGTTGCCACAATGTGAGAGAATTCAGAAAGTGGGACTACAATCATGGCTGCCTTACCATGTGTCCTCACCATTCTGAGCAATGCAGAGGCACTACAATGCACCATCTGAACCTGAGGTTCCACTGGGCTCCATAGTCTGACTCCTGCAAATTGGGGAATAATAGTAGCTAGCTCTACAATGCAATGATTAAAGAAGCCATGTAGACCAGCACAACTTGTATGGTTTAATGAAGTTTGAATGTATTTCCAGATAGAATATTGGGAGTCTTTAGCCTTGTGTTGTACCACTCAATGGGTAGCATCTCTGAACACAAGGACTCTCACAGAACCCATTGACTGGCTTTGACTTGGTTAGTCTAAAGCTCCAGCTTAACTTTGCAGTCAATAACAAAAATAAGAGCAGACAGTATCCTGTGTAGGATTATTGAGAACTGTTCTTATTTTCAGAGTGCAAGTGCGGACCCATTGACCTCCTGTTTATAGTGGACAGCTCGGAGAGTATTGGTGCAGCCAACTTCCGCTTGGCCAAGCAGTTTATAATCACAGTGATTGAAAGGCTGAGCAAGGATGAAAAGCTCAAGGTGAGACTGAGCAGTCAGTCATCTGGAACTGATGTACCAAAGGGAAGGCTCATTGACTCACTATTAGACTTCACTCAGTAAAAATGCAATAACTATTGGACTATTAGTCACTGAGACTTCCCCACATCCACCGCTCCCTCCTCACCACTATAGGTGACAAAGCCTACTACACCCCTAACCTCTGGACTCTCTACCTCTTCATCTCTCTCTTCTTTACCTGTCTTTAAACCTGCCTAAAAAACTATCTTTCAACATGCTTACAGTGACCTCCCACTTTTCCCTCTCCCCCATCTCCCTCGCTTGGGGTCAAACCCTGTCTTTAATTAATGGAGAAATTCCACCCAATCCAGATTTCCACTATTTATGTATAATTCCAGACCATCCAGAAGCTGACAAATTGTTGAATTCAATCTTATACTTGTAGCAGTTTTTCTGGCATTCTTTCAAGACCTACAGTATTGTGGAAGGTGTTGACTACTTTCCTTCTTTGTCTTTGTAGTTTGATGGCAAGGAGTCCAATGTTGGAGTTGTCCAGTACAGTCATCAAGGAACTGAAGAGCTGGTTTCTATGAAAAGTCAAAACATTAATTCATTAACAGAACTGAAAAGGTCCACCATGACTGGTTATATTTCTTTATTTGTAATGCCATAGTGCAAATATGTTATGTTTTCTCCCTCCTCTCCCTCTCTCTCCCTACCTTCAAAATGATATTGATGTGTTGGGAAAGAGTTCAGAACATTTCAGATCAATACTTTAGGATGCACTAAACAGTAGAAAAAGAGGACATAGGTTTATAGTTTCAAAAGGTAATTTCAGGACAGCTACCAGGAAGTTTCCTTTAACCAAAGGGTAATGAATAACTAGAGCAGGTTGGTAGGAAGAGTGGCTAAGGTCCAAGACTGAAAAAAANCTCATTTAAAGAACAGCTTAATGCTATGATGGGAGGATTGTATTCTTGAAGGATGAGATCAGATGGGTCGAAGGGCCTTCTTTAACCAATCTTGTGATGTTTTGTGAGAGGCAAGGACTTGGAGCTCAAAATTACGAGGAGGAGGTTCGTAGAACTGCTTATTCTCATTGGGAATAGGATCCAGAGGGCTAGAGTTTTTCATGGTCTTAGCGGTAAGACCCTTCACAATTTTGGAAAACTCTAAAACAATCCATATTGATTGGAAAGCCACATTTTCCGCAGGTCTTAGAACAGAATGAGGGGAAAACAACTTTTCATATTAAGACTAAATTTGAGAATTTTCCAAATTTGAGAGTTGCTCAGTTAGTAGCACTCTTGCCCCTGAGACAGGAGATTATGGGTTCAAACCCCACATTGGGACTTCCAGCTAATCGTCTACGCTGACATTTCAATGCAGTCCTGGGGGGTGCGCTGTATTATCAGGGGTACCGTCCTTCAGATAAGGCATTAAACTGAGGTCCCTTGTGCCTGTTCAAGTAGTTGGGGAAGGGAGTTTTTCCAGGTGTCCTGACCAACAACTAACCTCAATAAAATCGGTCAGTCACTTTAACGCTGCTTGTAGGCCATCACTGTGCCCCAATTGGCTGCCACATATGGCTACAAAATGCACAAAGTCACTAAAACAAAAAAAATTACATTTGTATAATGCCTTTCACTTCAGGAGGACTAAATGTTAGCCCATCTTAAAACTTACTTATTTGAATACGCTTTGAGTCATCTCCTCCCCCCACTCTCTTTAGCTGCCTCCTCTCGGCTCAGGTGTTCAGCCACGTGTGTGAAACACTTTGAGATGTACTTCCATCATGAAAGGCACAATCTAACTATATATTGTGCTTTACAATAAATCCTTAAATCCTGTGAAGCACTTTGAAACATCGTGACATGAAACTATAACAAACGCAGTTTTTTTAAGACAACAGTCGTAAGACAGAGACTGAGAAATCTTAACCCTTGTAATGGCTGGGAGAGGCACATGCAGCTGTGAGAATATTTAGACTGAGCACAACGAAATGAATAAGGACCTTTAAAAATGACAGTAACAATAACACTTTTTTTTCAGTGCCATCAAGAACCTGAGGTGGATTGCTGGCGGAACTTACACAGGAACAGCATTAGACTGGTCAAAGACAGCATTCGGGGGTGGCCTTGATAAAGTAAAGGTTGTTCTGGTGTTGACAGATGGACGGTCAGAAATCTACCGAGATCCCATACCACTATCAGCCCTCTGTGGTTCAAACACCAACGTACGAGTCCTTTACAGTTCTTGATTGTGATGTACATGATCAGCTTCAGTTTCAATTTGTTTTAAAGGGAAGAGTCCCACTGGGCGAGATTTGCAATATTTCTAATAGATTTTACTGTGACAATTCTCACCTCAAATGAGTGGGGAAATGTGACTTATTTCAATCCATTCCTGAAGATTCCTAACAAAAACAGAAGTTGCTGGGAACCCTCAGCATCTATGGCGAAAGAAAAATGAGTCAACATTTCAGGTCCACGACCCTTTGACAGTTCTGACGAAGGGTCGTTGATCCGAAATGTTGACTCACTTTTCTTTCTCCATAGATGCTGCCTGACCTGCTGAATGTTCCCAGTGACTTCTGTTTTTGTTTCAGATTTCCAACATCTGGAGTCCTGTAGCTCAGTGGTTAGAGCACTCGCTTTGCAAGAGAGAGACCTGAGTTCAATTCCAGGCAGGGCGAAACCTTGGGCAAGTTTCTTACTCCACACGCCTAATAATCCTCCAAAAACAATAATAAAAATTGGTCATTTTCAATCTACGATTGTTTGTGGCACATTGCTGTGCGCAATTGGCTGCCGCGTTCGCCCACAAATATACAGTCAATTAACTTTACAGTGTGTTCTGTGAAGCGCTTTGGGACGTCCTCCCGACGTGAAAAGCTCTATATCAAATGCAAGGATTATTATTATTATCTGCAGTATTTTGCGTTTTGTTTATACTAAAGATTTCTAGATTATCTTTGGAGCAGACATCCCGCCCTCCCAAGTCCTACTCACAACTTTTTTTTTTTTTTTTAAAATCACCATTGTCTTCCCAGTATCTTGTTTCTCCGCGAGCTTATGTCTCCTATCTTTGATCGGCTCCACTGGCTCCCCAACCCCCAGAGAATCAAGTTCAAGATCCTCATCCTCACTTTTAAATCCCTCCACAGTCTTGCCCCAACCTACCTCCGTGACCCTCTAAACCTCTACAAACCTACCCACTCTCTCTGCTCAGCAGGCACTGACCTACTTCATGACCCCCGCCTGCCTTCCCACCATCGCCAGTTGGGCTTTCAGCCTTTCTGTCCCTTCACCTCGCCCCTTCCCTTGCCTTCTTGAATATCCATCTCAAGACCGTCCTCTTTGACTGTGCTTTCAGTCATCTTCCTTGGCCCTCAGTCACTCTTGGCCCTCACCCTCCCACCCTCCAAAATCCAGTCCTCAGCTTGAACGCAAACCCTTGACTGCCCAGCACCTTGGGGAAGTCTTCCCAATATGAAAGGTTCCAAGTAAATGCAATTTGATGTTCTTGTAGTCATATTACTTTCACTTCACATTTGGATGTGGTTTTAGAGATGGTTTTGATTCTGGATTTGGAAAATTTGAGCTCCACTTGAACACAGATGTCTTCAAATCAGGTGCAGCATCGGAACAGAGAAATGCCTGCTCCCTCACTCAGGCCTCCTAAGACCAATTGTAGAAGAGAAATGGGGATTACATATTCGTGTGGAGTCCTGTAGCTCAGTGGTTAGAGCACTTGCCTCGCAAGCAAGAGACCTGGGTTCGATTCTCGGCAGGGCGAAATGTTGAGCAAGTTTCCTTACTCCACACGCCTTTGTTTACCTAACACTAAGTAGAAACCCAATTAGTCAATTGTCGGATCGCTTTTCCGGGGATCACAATCCTTCAAAACAAAATAATAATTTGGTCACTCAATCCACGACTGTTTGTAGGACACTGCTGTGCGCAATGGGCTGCTGCTTTTCACCCACAAGTATACAGTCAATTCACTTTACAGTATACTCTGTGAAGTGCTTTGAGACGTCTAGAAAACGTGAAAAAAGCGCTATATCAAATGCAAGGATTATTATTACAGATTTAATATCATGGCAGAGCAGGCTCGCTCAATGGCCCACTTCTCTCCTTTCCTATGGTTCTATCTGCTGCCGTGTCTGAGATCAGCTAACTTCATACAGAGTTGTAATTTAACCGGTGATCTTCTGACCAAAATGGCCTTGTGCTACACAGTCTACCTGTCTGTACCCTTTATACAACTGACTTTTCATTTGAGCCATGAGCTGACCTATTAGTTCAATCTTACACCGAGCACCCAATGGATCTCGTCTCCTCTAACAGGTGGTCGCAATTGGTGTGGATGATATTTTCAAGACTGAAGCAGCCTCTGAAAACTTGGGGCAAATCGCTTGCTCCAGTGGACCATCCCCTGGGCTCAACTTGAAGCGAACTAACTTCCTGGAACTTCTAGAGGATTCTTTCCTCGAAACTGTGACTTCATTCATCTGCAAAGGTACTTGGGGAGAAGTGGAGTAATAGTCCGCTTAGGAGCTGAGAGCCCATTGCTTCATGTAAATAAAGGCTGTCACACTGCAGGGTCCTGGGTCTGAAAATGGTGATAACAGATAGCAGTGCCATATACACAATGCACAGGCCTCTCCCTGTGCTGAAATGTTTTTATATGTGTCAGCCTGGTTCAGTTGATAGCACTTTTGCCACTGAATCAGAAGTATGTGAGTTCACGTCCAACATCATAATCTAGGCTGATGTTCCAAAGCAGTGCTGGCGGTGAGGTGGGGGGGGAGGGGCGAGGGGTGGTCTGCATTGTTGAAAGTGCCGTCCTTTGGATGAGACTTTAAACCAAGGTCTCTTCCACCTGTTCAAGATGCCATGGCACTATTTGGAAATGGTGAAAAAGTTTCTTCCAGTGTTCAGGCCAACAGTCACCTCAGATAAAACTGGTAACTGACATCATGGCTGTTCCTTGGACACTGCTTCGGTGCAAATTGGCTGCCTCATTAGCTTGCAAAATAAACACTTTACAGTATATCCTGTGAAACATTCTGAGATGTCCTCCCAATGTGAAGGACTCTATACCAAATCCAAGGATTATTATTAATATATAGAAGAAATGTTGTCAATCTTGTGATAAAGTGTTAAACTGTTCTCATGGATGTATTAATTAGTTTAAACCAATCCTGTTAGGCATTTTTAATATGTACATCTTTCTCTTTTACAGAAAAGAAATGCCCAGATTACTCGTGCCCCAGTAAGTAACATTCTTTCTCCTGTCATTCTTTATCGGAAACCAAACGCAGAGTCTTTGAAAGAAAAGAAAAAGTCAGCAGTCACCATCAATGGAGTTGGAATTTCCCATTTTGTTTAGATGCAAAGAGATATTTGGGTCTTGCCTTCTCTTTCCCTCACCCTCCTCACCCACTTCCCCACCCATCTGAAGGTGCTGACTCAGACTGAGATACAATACTATAATAATTCTACCCTCCCACTCACATTACCTAAAAACATGGCCATTCTTCAGTTGTGATTATGGTGACAACAGAGCCAGGCATGCTATACACATGCACTCTCCAGTAATGTCTATGATTACAGTGGTGAGACATCACCTTGTTGACGAGTATCAACAAGATAATAATAATCCCTCCAAAAAAAACCAAAAACAATAATAAAAAAAAAATTGGTCATTTTCAATCTACAACTGTTTGTGGGACATTGCTGTGCGCAATTGGCTGCCGCGTTCGCCCACAAATATACAGTCAATTCACTTTACAGTGTGTTCTGTGAAGCGCTTTGGGACGTCCTCCCGACGTGAAAAGCGCTATATCAAATGCAAGGATTATTATTATTATTATTATTATAATGGTCACTGGAGGTGAAATCCTCTCTGATATTGCCCCCCCCCCCTCCACAGCTCAGGGATGGTAAGACCAACTGTGTTGTCCTCCGTCAACAACAACAACAATTTGGATTTATACAGTGCCCTCCACGCCGGATGGCGTCTCAGAGCCCTTCACATTAACAGATCCTGGGGCCGAGCGAGGGGGAGGAAGGTGACCAAAGGCGCGGTCGAAAAGAAAGGTCTTCAGCCGAGACCTGAAAATAGGAAGAGGGGGCGAGGCGAAGGGAGTGAGGAAGGGAGTTCCAGAGCCTCGGGACATAGTGGCTGAAGGCACGGCCGCCGAGGGGGGGAGTGGAGGACTCGGGGGATAAGGAGGAGGCCATTCCGGGTGGAACGAAGGCAACCGGCACTGTTTTGAGGAGAGAGGAGGTGGGAGCGGTAGGCGGGTACAGAGGAGTGAAGGGATTTGAAGACAATGGTGAGGATCTTGGAAGTCGAATGAGACATTAAACTGAGGTCCTTCTACCGGTTCAAGTGGATGTTACAGATCCCATGGCACCATTTGAAAAGAGAAGGGAATTGCTCTCGGTTTCTGGCCAACAATCCCCCAAACTTATTCTTGGCTGTTTGTGGGACATTGGTGTGTGCAACTGGCTGCCATGATTGGCCCACAAAATACACAGTTAATCCACTTTACAGTATATCCTGTGAAGCGCTTTGAGATGTCTCGACGACATGATAAAGTGCTACCTCAAATGCAAAGATTATTATTAGTAGCAGTAATGCCCATGGCTGAGATCAGCTAACAGAGGAAGATTTGCACCTATGAGCTCCTTGCCTCCTGTCTTACACTGATGTCATGCCAGACGGGGTAAACTTTACCCACTGAGTCACTCATCGCCTGCCAATGATCACTTGTGGAATGTTGTAGAGAAAANGAATAGATTTGAGGACAAACAATACTGATAACACCGGATAACAGAGAAATCAACATCTGGAGTCGAAGGAAACTTTCTTAAATAAACAATGGATTGGGATCTTTTTCCTCAGCTTGGGATGTTCTCTGTTGTCTTCAAATGCATTGTCAAATCCAACAGGAAGGGAGTGTCCTGCTAGCAATCCTTGAGATAAAATTGGTTCATGGTTGTTTACATTAAATCCCGTGAACAGCTTTGAGATATCCTACTGACCTGAAAGGCACTATATCAAATGCAAGGATTACTGTTAATATTACATTGCTGTTCACAGTTTGGCTGCTGCATTTGCCTAAAATACGCAACCACCTGTGAAGCACTTGGAGACATTTTGACGTTGTAGGCACTGTATCAAACACAGGGATTGTAAGCCAATTTTTGTATCGCACATTGTATTGTCTTATAATCCTTGCGTTTGATCCAGTGCATTTCACATTAGGAGGACATCGCAAAGCGCTTTACGCTGCTGGTTAGGGACCCAAGCTAGGGACCCTAAGGATGGAGTTTGGGGAGGGGGAAGGTGATCGAAAGCATGTTTAAAGTGGTAAGGCGTATTCATTTGTATTAGAAATTAACAGGGTCCATTGTTTCTCCACAGTCCAATTCAACTCCCAGGCGGACATCACCTTCCTGATGGACAGCTCCACGAGCGTGGGGAGCAGGAACTTCGAAACTACCAAGACATTAGTCAAGCGTCTCGCAGACCGTTTTTTAAAGGCCAAACAGCTGACTCCTAACGCGGTGCGACTGTCAGTGATTCAATATAGCACGCGCCCAAAGATCGAAGTAGATTTTTCCAGCGACTATAACGCCATAGCGAGGGCCATAGATAAGATGGCATTCATGAATAACGCCACAGACGTGGGGGGCGCATTGGAGCACACAATAAATATCTACAAGAACTCACTTAATAGAATGAAAGGATCCTCTTGTTTTCCGATGGCAGATCCCAGGGAGAGCTGGTCAACACGATCAAACAGCAGGTGCTTGCAGCAACACGTGAGGACATTGAACTGTACGTCATTGCCGTGGGAGAGCACGTCAACGAGGATAATCTTCGGATCCTGGTAACTGGAAAGTCGAACGTCTTTAATGTGGATTACAGCGCAAAGCATCTTTTCCGCGTGAAGGACTATGACTCTCTGCTGAAAGGTGTACTTTACCAGACCATTTCCAAGCATATGTCACGGGATTAATAATGCTTAGAAACTTCAATCCTTCAATCCTCTAAGCTCCTTCTTTTGTGCGCGTTTTCCCCTAAGAGGCTGTTCTCTTGGGAGCTGCAATGTTATAGGGTTATTTGCTTTTTTTTAGGATTTATATTTTTATAAAGAGAATCTGCTCATTGGGATTTTGCCCTCCATTCAATCGGCAGTCTCTTCCCCTCCAGGGCACCTCTACCTCCCTCCATATGTCCTCCTACAGCTAAGAGGATGTGTGAATAGATGGTATCTTCCACCCTCCTACTACTAGCATTGGTGCTACACAATTCTCTGTCTGTAGGAGGTGCACATTGTGCTGATGGTTAAAAGCGGTTATTTCTTCATTGAATCTTCCCATTTCTCATTACTAAATTTGCAGGAAACTCTTACTACCTTTACCAATCAACAGTAGATAGTCTCCCACTCCCCCCATCCCCTATTCTGTCTAACCAGTTTTAACCGCCAAAGACCAAAGGTATAACACATTCCAGGTCGGTAAACCACTTGTAGAACTGACCCTAAAGCTAAGAGTCCAGCGTGTGCATATGAAGCCACAATCAAACCAGAAACATTCACAGCTGAAACGCAACACCATTTTTAGCGAGGGATTTAAAAGGGCGTTGGCGATGTTCTCCTTTGTATCACAGTCAGTTCAGATGACTGGTAAATGGGCCCTGGACCCATGAATTTATCGTTGGCAGAGAAGATATGTGAATTTGCAACTTGCTCCCTCCTCACAGTCATCAGCTTGGAGAGTGGGTCACTGACCCTGAGTTCATCAGTGCAGGTTTAGCCCTCCAAAAGGAAAAGCAGGCCTTGAATTCTTTTGTGTGCCTTAAGCCCTGCGAGAGACCTTGTGCACTTGCTAAAGGCCGAGTGAATTCTTGTCATGTTGGGGATTAAAATTCATGTCAACTGTTGTTAGTGGAAATGGATTATCAGGCAGCGCTGAACTGTAAGTCTGTGACTAGGAAGAATGTTAAAACGAACATCTTACAGATATGCCAGCAGAATTTTGTTTTAATGCAGTGCCTTTAATACAGGTTTGAAAACAATTGAAAACTGCAGTGCTTACGACTTTTTAACCTTTTTTTTAAAATCAAAGGCTTCGAATAATGGCGATTGACGGGTTTGTCCCTCTGAAGTCACTGTGAGAAAGGGAGGTGTTCGCGAGGAAGGGAAAGTGGGTGTCAACACCACTCATAGCATCCGTGTTACCTCTGTCTCTTTTCAGGTGTAATGTTGGGGGTGGGGGTAGGCTGGAAATATAAGGGTGGGTGTTGTAGAAGGATGAGATCAGATGAGCTGAAGTTGTCTTTCTTATCTAAATCTATCTTGTGATCTTGAGATGATTAGAATGGAGTTTAAAAAAAATTCCAGACCTTCACCCACCTCCCCCACCCACACAGTTTTATTCAATGTTTAACCTCTGTGTTTGGTAAACTCATGGCTTTTCTCAATCTGCTCACCTGAAAAGGATAATTTTTACACGGAGGCAACTGCATGGAAATGGTGCTAGGGGCTTTTCTTGACATTGAGACCTAACTATTTGTATTAACACCTTTCAGAATTACCCTTTTGAAAAAAAACTTATGACGAAACAGGAAAATGTTTTTGAATGTGAATTAAAGTGCCTTTTAAAGAAAAGTTTACTGGTGCTATGATTATAAAAGTGACCGAAATAATGTGCAAAATACATAGCACATACTTGAAGATCTATCGATTGATATATGCCATTAAGAATGAGAAGCTGAAACAGATCATGGTCACTATAACTATGATGCTCACTCTATTTTAAACCTCCTGATCTCAGATTATGTCGGCTATTGTATTTTTGCAGAACCTGTAAAGTAAGTTGTTTTTTAATCTTATGTGGCCGGTCACATTTTCCATTACGCGGTTTGTAGATTGGAACATCAGCATTGATTAAAAGATTTTCACATTCACTCACAAAATGCCCTTCGCCTGAATCATTCCCACCTGACATTTTTAACTACTAGGAAATATGAACAAACACACTCTGCACTTTGTAACAAGTGTAACCCTTCACACTGTGTAGCTAGTACAACCCAAATAACCTGCTTGCTCCTCAATTGAAGCTGTCTACCCTAATCCCAATTCCCTGCTCTTCCCTGTACCCTCTAATACTCCTCCTCTACATGGTCTTACCTAATTCCCTTTTAAATGTCCCCAACCCTCTGCTCCAACAGCTACCTGGTAATTAATATATCAATCTGAAGAGAGACTGGCTAAGTTGGGACTTTAACAGAGCAGAGGAGAAAGAGAGGGATGTTTAAGAGACTGAAGGGGGATAGACATGGTAAATAGGAAAAAAACAATTTCCCTAAATTGGTGAATTTGTCTTGTTAGCAGAACATTTTGTGGAGAGGTTAGGAATTTCTTCACTCAGAGGGTTGTTAGGATTTGGAATTCGTTAGCAGAAATGGCTTGTTGCAGTTGGATCAATTGAGTTATTCCCCCCCAAAACCATTAAGCGATGTGGGAAGCAAAACATGCTCAAGTTTGCTTTTGCACAAATGAGAAGGTGACTTCAGTGGTGCAGAGGTAGAGAGGTAAATTAATCTCAAATTTGGAGTGGGAGCAATGGTGGGTTTAAGACTTTAATCATCTTAAGGTGGATTGCACCAGTTTGAGTAAAACAGCAATTTAATTTGGTTTCATGGTAAAGAGCTAGGAGGTTGGGTGGTTCAGGTATGATGGACAAACCTATTGTGATCTTGGCTGCAATAGAATCAATACCGAATTGGAAAGTTGACAGCACACAGGAGGTCATTTGGAAGGATAGTAGGTAATTGCAATGTGTAGAATGGCAGTCTACTTTGCAGAGAGGAAAAGTGGAAACTGAAGCATGTAATGGGAAATCATAATGAATTTGCTTATGTTAAGACTATATAGAATCATATACAAGGCAGGGAGCGTTTGAAAGGCTGCGAGCTGAGCAGTAAATAGGAGAGGTGTTGGGCAGGTTGCATCACATCTTATGTGGGATGCAGAGTGTCACTGATGACTGGCATTGATAGGGTAAGAAATGATAGGTAGGTAAGAGAACACAATTGAGGGAAATGTGTGCAGAAGGCAACAAATGAATAACATCATATGTGGAAAGGGACTCACTGTAATGCAGTGTGTTTTAATTATGAAGTCAGCTGTTCTGACGAAGGGTCGTGGACCCGAAACGTTGACTCACTTTCCTTTCTCCGTAGATGCTGCCTTACCTGCTGAGCATTCCCAGTGACTTCTGTTTTTGTTTCAGATTTCTAGCATCTGCAGTATTTTGCATTTTGCTCAGCCTAATATATCGCTGTATCAAAAGTAACTTAGGATGAGTTTGAGGTAGGTAAGATAAGCAGTAATTGGAAACTGAAGGATTTTGTGTCTGAAAGAAGGGAATAATTGCAATGTCCAGATGTGTAGTAACCTTTGTGGTGTTTGACGAGTTTCGTGTGTAAATCAACACGAGGAACACATTATGAAATGTCGTGACCTTTGTCCTGCATTTTCTTAAATATAAAAGAAGAAAAGTCAACTTTGGTCATTCATTTAATATCGGGCTTTAGGGTTTCTAATGGGTTGAACTTTGGGAGTCAGATGGTTTGTGTGTGCTCCAGCATTGACTTGAGTAAAAGTATTATCTGATCTTGAAGTCGCCGTTCCTCTGATGTAAGAAATAGTTGGTTTAAGATTTTCTCAACCCGTATGAGCTATTGCCTTTGGCTTACTATTGTACCCTGCTGGTTTTTTACACAATAAATGCAATTTGAGAAGGCAAAGAATCAAATGATGACTTCAGAAAGCATTGCTTCATTTGCCCAACTTCATCTTCCTCTCGATCATCTGCTTGGGCTTTTCAACCAGCTGTTGTCCATATGCCTTATGGTGCAATGTACTAAACCTTTTCTTTCAATCCCAGGCCAAGCCCAGAGGGAACAGATATGGGGACACTCATCCCTCTATCAACCCACATAAGTTTCAGGCTCTTAATGCTTTCATTTAGTCATTACTCCAGAGTACTTGAGCTTTGCTCGTATTCTTCCCAGCTCCATTACTCTTCCCAAGTTTTGGGAAACTTCCAACCATCCAGTTCTGCTTGAAATAATGCATCATTTTCTACTTGTTAGTGATTCTGATTTATAATAGTAATAATTCTTGCATTTGATATAGTGACTTATCATGTCATTGGGATGTATCAAAACACTTCACAGAATATACTGTAAAGTGAATTGACTGTACATTTTGTGGGTGACACTGCACACCTCTCCTCAAAGTGCATTGGCTTACTTCTCCTTCTTCCTAGGTACAGTCTCACTGATGCCTGTATACAATGCTCAAGTGACTATCATTAACATATGAGCCATGGCAATGAGTATTTCTAGCCTATTCAGTATGAGTGCCCAATCTTGTCCTCGCCCACCATCTACCCATCCTCTTCCAGTAAGGGCCACGAGTTAGTAATCAGGTGTAGTAATCCTGATTTGGTCCTCCTCCCCTCTGTAAGCCAAGGACACTGAAGTCCATTGGATCACCGATTGCTACCTGCAGTTAAGGACAACATAGGAATAATAAGTGACAGACCTCAAGCATCCGTTGCACCCCGATCAGGAGACTGATAAGTTAGCACAAGGAAACACAAGAGAGGGTAAACCTGTCAGAATTCACTTAAATAAATCTAGGGTGTCCCACAGAGCTGGCGAACAGAGCTGAAGAACGAAAAGAAAGTTCTTGGTCAATTTATCCTCTTGCTTTGCAAAAGGAAGTGATTATCAAACAACATCTTTGGGAGGCATAATCACAATGTTTAAAGTTCCTGAAAACACAAGATATAAGACTCTCACCACAATCCTTTAGAGCATGGCTCTGAGCAAGACTTCAGCCACAAGCAAATGGAAAAGGAATCAAAGCAACAACTTCAGAAGAGTATCCAGCTGAGTCAGACAGGGTGAAAACTGCAAGCATTGGCTGTCTGTTTGAACAATAATAATTTATATTTATAGATACCTGAACATCGGGGCGGTGTTGGGGGTGGGGGGTGGGGAGATGTCCTAAGGTGCTTTATACATTAGTCTGGACACTGGGGAGCTGAGGAGAATAGAGGCAGGAGAGCTGACGATTGAAGGATAGACCAAACTGGAACAGATTGCCAGGAAGGGTAGTTAAGGACAGGAAAACAAGGCCATAGGACTTGGTTTTTTTTTAAAAAAAGCAGCTCATTGCTGTAGTGGGAGGATGAGTATTTTGGAAGGTTGAGATCAAATAGGCCAAAGGGCCTTGTACATTCAAACCTCTCTAATGATCTTGTGAGTGCAGAATCCTTGCTTCAATCACCCTTCCTGGTAACTCTGTTCCAGTTGTTAATTGCCCTCAGTGTAAAGTGTAACTAAAAGCTTCATAGTCCTTCCTCTCCTTAAAGCACATTGACTTAGTTCTCTTATGCCTTGGGATGGTTCCATTGATGCCAGTTGCACTGGGTATTCTGCTCATGTGACTATTATTAACATGTGAGCCATGACAATGAGTGCTGCCAGGCTGTTCAACTTTAGTGCTTGATCTTGTCCTTAGCCAGCCTCTACTTATACCTACCTTCTTGACAAACTGTCCTAAAATTGCCCTTGGCAACCCAGAAACTGTCCACTTGTTCTGCTGCCTTGGCACATATGAAAGTATTGTTCTAAATTTGACTTTTCAAGCTCATTTATAATCTTGCACAACTCTATAAAGTTCCCTCTGCAACGTCTCGTTCTCAAAGTCAAATGCAGAAATAATAAAGTTCATTGATTTCTTTCATATAAAAGAGGTCAGACATGGAAGAGACCTTTGGAATGCAGAGATTTCGGTTCACTCCCTAACTAGATCCAGACATGCCCTGCAGAGTTTATTTCGAAAGCTCTGCAAGATATTCAATGCATGCTACCTCTGCTTCAGTTTTGCAATACTGCTGTCAGACTCAGTGTTCCTGAGGAACATTTAGAGATTCTGGCACTGAGGAAAAATAGAGATTTATAGCCTCCTCAAGCAGACTTGAGAAAGCTTTAAATCAGATCAGATTGGCAATGCCATTCCCTCTTCTGACAGTGACGATACCAATCTATTTTGGGGTTTAATTTTCATTGCTTCTTAATTGCACATTTAATAAGGTGTGTCCTTTTGGGTAGAGAGTGTGCAACACATACCTGACAAATTTCAACCATATGTGGAACTCTCAGTAGTTCAATGTGAGGATTCTTAACTATGGTGTTGAGTCATCACATGTTTCTCTCTCACCCCCACAATAAAACTCTTTCCAGTAACTGGATGTACATCATGCCAGTCCATAGGAACTTTTCTTCAATTCGATCCACTTCCAGAACAGAGCAGGTCAACAGGATTCTTTATTCCTTCAAGAGGACTGAAACCTTTTTAGTCTCAGCCAGGGATGGTAATGCTTAACATCTGAAGTAAGAAAAGTACCCCAAAAGGGATGTAAGAAAAACAGTATAAGAAGCAAATTTAAACCTTGTCTCTTTGTGTGTTCCAGGTATCAGCCTGGCTCAGTTGATAGCACTCTAAACTATGATTCAGAAGGTTTTGGTTCAAGCACCATGGCAGTACTTTAAACTAATTTAGTTGAGGCTGGTACGCCAATGAGGCACTGGGGAACAATTTTTACTGTGAAGTGAGGTGCTGGGGGTGGGGTTTTGCATTGTCAGAGGTGCCATCCTTCAGATGAGATGTTAAACTGAGGTCCTGTCTGCCTGTTTGGGTGAATGTTAAATACCCCACAACATTATTTGAAAAGAGAAGGGAGTTTCTCCTGGTGTCCTGGGCAACAATTCCCCAAGTAAAAATTGGTTGTTCAATTTATGGCTGTTTCAGGGACGTTGCTGTGCACACATTGGTTGCTCCATTCACCTACAACATACACAGTCACAGTATTTTACAAGAATCCTGTGAGTGCAAG